TGAGACCCCCGCCTGCTGCGGCGCTCGTGGGCAGCGCCGTGTGGCGCGTGGAGCGCGCTGGGGCCGGGGGCTGGCGCTGGGAGCGCGCCGTCGGCGTGGACTGCAGCGCTCCGGAGCCGCGTTGCCTCTGGCTGCCGTACCTCAGCCACAGCGACCGCCGCGCGCCCGGACTACGCCGGGCCAGGGTGAGCGCCGCAGCGGGGCTAGAGCGGCCAGTGGCAGGCTGAGCAGGCCTTGGCAGGGAGTGGGTGGTACTGGGTCACCAACTCCCTCCTTTCTTGGAGCTGTAAGCGTCCTGCACTCTGGAACCTGTATTTGGGAGATAGAGAAGAGTGGTGGGCTTTGTGGCTTTGGAGCTCTTCCAGGGATGCTAGATAGCAGCCCTCAGTGTGGGTTCCACAGTTGTGACCTCCAGTGAGCTCAGCCCTCTTGACTTACAGGCAGTGTAAGATTGGAAGGGCCAGGGCCCTTTGAAGAGATCCATCAAGTAGTCCTAGAGAATTTGGGTTGCAGAGACCCTGAGACAGAGCCAGGCAGCGGTACCAGGAAGTCACAGTGGATACCGTACCCCTGGTAGGGGACCTGGGCACAGGTGCACACAAGGGTTTTCTAATGGGCAAAAGAGGCTGTGGAGGCAGAATGAGCCACAGCAGGTAGTGAGAGAGCTCAGGGTGAGGACCAGCAGGGTTGGGAGGCAGGGGGCCATATTTCTGATACATGGGATTGACCACGCTGGTAGGGCGTGAGTCACAGTGGGCACCATGCCCAGCATGAATGCTGTGCTCCCTGCATTGACCTCTTTATGCTCTGGGAGGACAGAGGGCAGGACTTCTGGGTTCTGGTTCCTGGTGTTGCCAGTCCATCTCTGCCTAATTTGTGGCCCTGGGCTCTTTGGCCCTTCTCCCACCATCAATTGGTGTTTCTGGATGTCTCTTTCTTTCCTAGCACGAGGGTGGGAATGGTTAGAAATAGGTCTGGGCCAGGAGAGCTTTAATCAGTAATGTCCCTGTGCCCCTCTGACCCCCTCTCTCCCCATTGCCTTGTGTCTGTGCCTACCTCAGAGAGGCAGAGTTGGTGTATTTGAGCTGTCTTCTTCCCCAATCTAATCACCTAGTTCTTATTGCTGGATCCCTCTCTATTCTAAGGAGCTCTGGTGGCACAGTGCCTAAGGCATTTGCTAACCAGAGGCTGGTGGGGCAAACCCAACAGCTGCTCTGTGGAAGGAAGATGGGAAGATCTACTTCTGTAAAGATTCACCACCTTGAAAACCCAATGGTGGACACTATGTGTTGGAATCGACTGATGGCAATGGGTTTGCCTCCCTCCCCCTCAAGATGAAAGCAAGACCCAGTGTTGTCCCAGGTCAGAGAGGAGGAGAGGAAACATGCAAGTATAACGGCATGAGGGATTAAGGTTAAACTGAAGGAAGAACTTCCTACTGAAGAGATAACAAATCTGGACAGTATTAGGGGCTGTAGTGTCTCCCCTTCAGGCAAGGGGATTACCACACTGACAGTCCTAGGACCCTAGGAGAAAACGGATGGAGGGAGGGAGACTGGAAGGAAGAAAAAGAGGAAAGGGAGAAGAAGAGATAAGGGAGGGGGTGCCAATGGGGCCCGAGTGAGGGAGTGAGGAGGAGACCTGAGAGAGGAAGGCATGCCTGCTGCCCTGGATTAAAAGCATGGCCCCCCAGGGAGTGGCACCCCCTGGCAGCTGGCAGCTCCAAGCAGAATGTGTGCTGGAGGAGGGGGAGGGGGGCATGTGGGGACCTGTCCCAGCCAGTTCTCATCACTGGGGCAGCTGGTGGCTTAAACCTTAATCCAGGACACCAGCAAGACAATAGGCCCTGCAAACAACCTCAGTTCTGAGCCCTGGTGGGAGGCGTGGGGTGGGGGGCAGCCCACACTAGGGAGGAGCAGGGGTTCTGGTCTGAGAGGGCAGTGGTATATTCCCTGAGGCCCTCTCCTCTCCCCATCAGTTCCTTGCCAGGTCAGCAGAGATAGGAAATCCAGGGGATTTCAGACCTCAGCAGAATTCCCAGAGAATGTTCTTTGGGCTCTCTAGACCCTCATGGGGGTGTGGGGCTCAGTGGCGGAGCCCAGGCTGTAGGAGCTGAAGGGCCATTGCTGGACCTCCCCCCGATACCAGAATCCTTATTAACATCTCCTGGACTGGTTTCCTTGAATCCTGCCAGGGGTGGGGAACTCACAACCTCATCCTGGTAGTTTTCCATAGAATGTGTACGATAAGAATGGTCTCCTTTGCCTGTTGCCTCTCAGCCTCTTTGTATCTTCCACCTGGCTCTGTCCTCTGGGACTATATGAAGCAAGCCAATTGCCTCTGTCACATTTTTCTTTAATTTTCTGACAGTTGAGGACATATATCCCCTTCTCCCAGCCTGCTTAATAGCAGCCTAGTATCCTACCCCATGCAGAAATCCCTACCATAGGGCTACACACTGGCCAGCCCCCCTCCCCCTGCCCTGTACGCAAGTGGATGGATGGGTATGTGAAGGAGCTTCTGAGCTTTCTGCAGCAATTAGAAGGGCAAACAGTGAAGCAAGAGCTCCTCATCTCAGAACTAGTGGCCTTTCTCCCTCTGCACCAGCCCTTCCATTCTCCCTCTGCTGAAGGCTCCTACCTGGTGCCAAGGGGGAAATGAGGGGCTGAGGACTGTCTCTGGGTGGAGGCCCTGATTGAGTGCAGTGGATAGGCTAGGCTGCCTGATGTTGGGGGTCCAAGAGCCCCTGAGGGAGGCCTCCTGGCTGTTCACTAGGTGCTTCCCCATTGACTCCAGTCTTCTCCAGTCTGTCTCCTGAGTGCACCTCTCTCTGACACCTTCCTGTCACCTGCTTTCTCTTTCTGCATCTGAGAAGGGGACCTGAAGGGAAGCTGCTCTTAGGCAGTACCCCTCCTCTTCTCCCTCATGCCCCAGAAGCAGACCTTTGTGCCCCAGACCCTTGTCGTCAGACACCCTCTGTCATGTCATCTCAGAGAATCCCAAGCATTCAGGCAGGTCGGCCAGAGGGCAGAGTGTTCCCCCCTTAGGCAGGCCGCTCTGTTCAAGGGAGCCAGTCAGACCTCTGAGCAGGGTCCAGAGCCTCTGGAAGTTCCCTTCTGTTGTCTGATGTGTGCTGCGCTTCCTCTCTGCTCTTAGTCCCACGTGTGTTCTCTTGCTGCTCCTGAAGGATTCATGTGTGTGCATCTGTGTGTCTGCCTATGTATGTCTGCAGTGTGTGCTGTGTGCCCGTGTCTGTGTATGTGTGCACAAGAATATGTGTAGCTAAGTGTGACTGTGTGTGAATATGTATTCTCATCTGTATATGTCTGCGTGCTTGTTTGCAATGGTGTATAAAAGTGTTATTGTGTCTGTCTGCATGAGTGCATGTGAATGCGTCTGTCTGCATAGGTGTGCATGTGTGTGTGAGTGTATTACACTCGTGTCTGTGAGCATGTTACACTAGTGTCTGAGCATGTTACCCTAGGGTCTGTGTGCATGTGTGTAGTGATTATGCAGCAGGCAGGAATGAGCTCAGACAGCAGCAGGCACTTCCCACCCAGGCAGGAAGTCTGCTTCTCAGGTGCCCGGGTAGGAAGTGCTCAGCTAATACTTGCTGATCTGAACTGTATGTCCCCCCAGCTTGTTGCAGCAGGTCATTTCTGGGGAAGCAAAGGCATCATGGGGGATTAAGGGGAAAAGAAAGAAGACAGGACCTGTTGGACTGATGAAGGTAGGAGAGGAAGGGAAGAGTTAGGAGGAGGTCAGGGATAGGAGGGTGCCTGACCCCTGTAGGGTCCATGGACCTCTCCAGCTCTTCTCGCATCCTCTGGGGTGCAGAGAGCCAATGAGTGTGCAGAGATGGGAGTGGGGCCACACTGGTGCTCAGCCCTGCCTCCCTGTGCTCCCACAGCTGCCACTGGGCCCGAGAGATGGGTGCTCTGCTGGACGCCCCCTCCCCTGGCAGGGGCCGCGCACGCTGCTCCTGCACAAAAGTCTCCAGGATGGCTTCGGCTTCACCCTGCGTCACTTCATCGTATACCCACCGGAGTCGGCCGTGCATTGCAGCCTGAAGGTACGCCCAGGTCGCTCCTTGCCCCTGCTGTCCAGGGAAGCGTTCATGGGCCGGGGGAATTTCTTGGCACTTGTCTCCTCCATGGTCCTTTTGACCTTCCCTGAGAAGCAATCCTTCCTCGGGACCAGTTTGACTCCCTTTTGCTGTGGCCTGTGGAGAAGTATCACAGGGAGACAAGGACACCTCTGGCTGGTCACTTGCACTGTGTGGTCATCATGGCTGGGTCGTTTGTACCGAGTTATCAAGCCCCTAATTTCTCTGGACACATATCCTCAGGAGAAGGGGTGGCTGGTTCAGGGCAGGGGATCCAGAGGTGGGGAAGCCAGAATGTTCATTTCGGACCCCCCGACATTTGGCCTCACCAAAGAGACTGACCTTCTTGGAAGAGATAGAGTCCATCCCTGGGCCCCTTGTCCACTGGATTCTTCTCAGCTGGGTCTACTGCCCCCCTCCTCATCCTGAGCTCTCGGGGACCCTGTCCCACAGTGCTCCAGGCCCATGCTAGCCTTAGGTCTGTGTGCTCATATGAAGGAGACCTGGGCTCTAGTCCTGGTATAACTCCTAACCTTCTGTGATTCTTGGGGCAGTCTCACCCGTTCCTGGGCTCCATGCCTCTTGCTATCACCTGAGGACATTTAGTTACCTGATCACTAAGGACTCTTCCAACCCTAATATAAACATCAAGTTCTCTGAGTCTGAGAACCAGGACTTATCAGCCTAACTCAAGGGTGTGGGCTGCAGGGAGGGGTCCCTGACAGCAAAGCAGGAGTGAAGGAGAATGTGAAGGGGCCCAGCAGAATCTGGGGTTCCCCATGGAGCCCTGCTCCTTTTCTTTGCCCCTCTCCCAGCAAGGGAGGAGACAGATTTATTTTGGAGTCAATGAGCCCCTCTTTCCCCTCCCCCAGGGTTGGGATCAGCCTGCACAGCTGTTGGGGGACTCTCCCTTGGGGACCTTGGTCCCACCTGCTAGAGAACCAAGGCATCGGATTTCACTGTCTATGTCTGTGTATGCTTGCATTCTCTCTTTGTGTGCACATGTGCACGTGTGGTATGATGGTCATGCACATGCATGTCGGCATATATGTATGCATGCATGTAGATGTCTTTACGTACACGTGTGTGTACATGTAACTGTGCTGCTCTCATCTACATATGTGAGTCTGGGTGTGCCTGCATAACTGTTCACGTTGGCTGCAGCTGTACTTGGCGTAAATGGGGCTGATAGTCTAGGGGCACTGCCCCACTCCTGATGCCCGAGGACTTCAGTCCCCTAATTCTCTGAAATCCCTATTCCTTCCTTCCCTCTCTTTCTAGAATGCTTCCTTCCCTGGCCCCTGCTACCTTCTTTCTAGGAACTCTGCTGAGGGGGGACAGTGACAGAAACAGCCTGTAGTCCTCTAGGCAGGGTGGTGGACCTGTTCATAGGGGGGTTTGGAAGACCCAAGTCACATGAAGCCAGGGACAGGCTTCACCCCCTTCTCAGAACCAGTCCAGGGCTGGGAGGGGCCTGGGCCTGGAGGCAGGAGGAAGCTGGTTCTCCTCTCCTTCTTGCTGCCAACCTGAGAGATTGCAGGGGACTCAGGCACTCAGCCGTCTAAATGCATCTGTCTGCCTCTGCCACCGGCTCGCTGGGCTGTCAGCTTACATCAGTGGATACGCACCCCACGTGGTGGGGTAAGATGAGGTCCCGCTCCCCAGCAGTGCCTTCCTGTGGCCCCGCCTGTTCTTGCTGGAGTACCGGAGTCCTGAGTCTGGCCTGGCTCTGCTGCCAAGTCTCTGGGTGGTCTTGGACTCATGCCCTGTCATCCATATGGGTTATGTGTGGAGGGGGTTAGATGAGATGTCACCAAAGTCCATTCCAGCTTTAAAATGCCACATCCTGTGGCTCATCCTATCTCTGACCCTCTCCTTTCCCTCATTCCTAATTCCTCCCCAAATCCAGAGTCCTTCCTCCTCAATCATCAGGATGACCCCAGTAGCCCCCTCAGTGGGTCTTCAACTCCACTTTGACCTCTGCATCTAGTTGCCAGAATCCTCTGCCCTAATGCTAGTTTCACACCCACCCTCTCCCCTTCAAGAACCTTCATTGTCTTCCTCTTTCCCTCCTTTCAAACCTGAATGAATGTCTGACTTATGAATGTCTCCTCTGTCACTTGCTGATGTTGACTCTCTCTTTTAGCTCAGCTGATCCAGCAATATACATGAAAAAAAAAAAAAAAACATTGCCACAAGTCAATTCTGACTCATAATGACCCTCTAGGACAGAGTAGAACAGTCTCAGAGTGTTTCCAAGGCTATAATCTTTACCGAAGCAAACTGCCTCATCTTTCTCCCACAGAGCGGCTGGTGGGTACGAACCCCCAACCTTTCAGTTAGCAGCCTGCCACCAAGTTCTGCACACTCCTTCACCCTTACCCAGAATGCCTTCTTCAACTTTGGCTCAAAATCCCCTCCTCCCCAGGACGCTAATCAGCCCTTCCCTTCCCATTCTCTGAGCTGATAGCCACTGTTTGCTCTCCTCATGCCTGCTTATCTGTGTCTGCCTGGATCTTCTGTGTGGGGGGCTGGGAGCTGCCTGGGGAAGGGGCCACGAGTCCACCATTGAATGCTGGAGTGTTGGGATCAGGGCAGCAGGAGTGAAAGAGCGGAGGTTGTCTTGGCCTCATTTGTGATATCCCAGCTGACAACCCTTTCACCCCTAAACCTCTACAACTGGGCTAATTGAAGAGAGATAAGGGATGAGACCGCTGGGTGGGGAGAAAGGAGGGCCCGCCCTTGTGGATCTGACCTTCCCTATCTCCACCCCTTCACTCCCATTCCCACCCCCACCCCCCACCTCCATGCTGCTGAGGGCTGGGTTGAGGGCCCACACCCATTTCTCTGTCCCCTGCAGGAGGAAGAGAATGGAAACCAAGGAGGAGGTAAGGAGTGTCGAGGGGTTGGCACCAGTGTCTGGGGCTTCTCTGGGACCCACCCTCTACCTTCTGTCTCCTTCCCTCTCCCCCAGGTCTGCCTGTGTTTTGCCAGTCTGTGCCCCCACCCCGGCTTCTCTTCCTCTCTCTCTCCTCCTCCTCTGTGTGCTGGTTTCACTCACCCTGGGCATCTCTTCCCCACTCTCTCTCCACTCCCTCTTTCTTTCCTCACATTTGTCTCCCTCTGGGTCTGTCCACTTCACACTCTGTGTGGGGGCATGATCAGGGGAGCAGACGGGAATCTAAGACTTGGCCCTTGCCCTCAAGGTGCTTCAGCCCGGACAGACCCACGACAGGCACAGACAGGAACTATAAAGCCTGGGGGCCGGGGCTGGGGTGAGCTGAGCAAGGGTGTTCTTGAGAATAGAAAAAGTGGCCTTCTACTCAACAGCACACAACAATAACAACAACATTGGGAGTGTCTTTGTTGTTGTTCTGTGCCCTAGAGTGGACCGACTCATAGCGACCCCTCCTTGGGTTTCCAAGGCAGTATCACTACAGAAGTAGATTGCCCAACCTTCCTTCTGAGGAGTGTCTGGTGGGTTTGAACAGCCAGCCTTCTGGTTAGCAGTCAAGTGCCTTAGGCACTATGCTACCAGAGCTCTTACATTGGAAGTAGGGGGCCCTTAAGACCTTCTCTCTTCTGATGTGAGCTTAGCTTACCTTGCTGTCACTCTTGCTGTCCCAGAGGGCCCCTTGATGGCACCCAGGCTCCGTGAGGGTGTTCAAGGCAAAGGCCTTCTGCCTTCTGCCTCTGCCAATGGGGCTTCTACTGGGCAGCCATGGGGACGTGTCTCCCGGAGTCCCTGTCCCAGAGGCCCGTGGTGGGGGAGGAATAGCCCATCACACTAATACAGTCAGCAGAGTGTTGATGGACTGCCAGAGTATTGCTGGAGTGTAATGTGATGTCAATAGATGACTCTCCACCCCAGGACCCTCAGGCCTCTGCTGGGGAAGGGAGTGGGATGGGAAGTGTGGACTTTGGGTATTGTGTCCCTCCAAGCTTGAGGGCCTTTCTGCAGCTCACCCAGGCCTGTGGGTAGACATTTCTCTGTGTGTGGATTCCTTCCTGCTGTGCAGCTTCAGGACTTGATACTGGTTCCTTTCAAAGTACCTTTTCCTCTTATTTTTTTCCCTGATTTTTTTTTTTTTTTTCTTTTCCTGCTGGTCTCAGCCATTAGACAGTGAACTCCTAAAGGACAAGGACTCGGCTTGTTTCTTTTCGTTCTAGTTTCTGGCACCGTCCTGGTCCACAACAGGCCATTAAGGAGTGACTGTGTGTCCATTAGGTTTTCCTTCTCCCAGGTGTGTGTCCTTTTGGCTGGTTCTGTGCATCTGTGGGTCTGTGTGAGTGTGGTCATTCTGAGTGTGTGTCCCCTGTGTGTGTAGCTGTGCATGGGTGTGACCTTCTGCAGCCACCCCCAGCTAACCTGGCTGATGCTCACCAGGACCCTCCCCTCGGCACCGCCTGGAGCCCATGGATACCATCTTTGTCAAGAATGTGAAGGATCACGGCCCCGCCCATAGGGCAGGGCTTCGAACAGGTGAGCTGTCCTAATTGCCTGGCTCTCTGCACCTCTCTAGGTCTCTTCTCCCTACTCCAGTTAGGATGGGATTCTGGGATCTGCATGTTGAGGTGACAGTTCTCCCACTGTCACCCATAGCTGGTGCAGGAGTTCTCAGGTGGGGCTGTTGACACCCCATGCCTACTCACATGTAGCCCTACCTTTTGTCCTCAGGAGACCGGTTGGTGAAGGTGAATGGGGAGAGCATCATTGGCAAGACCTACTCCCAGGTCATTGCTCTGATCCAGAATAGGTGAGTGGCCCCGGCTTCCCTTCTTCATAATAGCTCCCCGCCCACCATGTCCCTGCACAACCCCTTGGCCGTGGGCTGCCCTGGCGACCAGGATCCCTGTTCTCCCAACCCCAGTTGCCTCAGCCTGGCCTGACCCTCTGCCCTGTCTCCATAGCGATGATACTCTGGAGCTCTCCATCATGCCCAAAGATGAGGACATCCTCCAGCTGGTGAGTCCTGGCCCCGCTCTCTGAGGTGGGGGACCTCTGGGCCCTTCTCCTCGGGTCCTCACTCCTGCATGGCCCCTTCTGGGAAGCAGAGAGGAAGGGGCCAATCCTAGGGAGTAGGGGGCAGTGCAGCCTAGCATTGCCCAGTTGGGGATGCCAGGCCCATCCCTGGGCTGGGGCTGGTTGTTGCTTCATTCTGGGCTGCTCTGTGCTGGGGGAGGGGAGGGGAGGCACTGGCCTTGGCAGGCAGGATTCCTGCTGGGGTATCTGGAAGGAAGGTGGCCCAGCGGGCCCTGCCAGACTGGCACGTTCTTGTCGGCTCCCAGGAGAGACGCCTGCTCTCCACACCCTCTCCCTGCCAGGCTCTAGGAGTGTGTCTCCTATAGATGTGTCTACCTGGCCCATCACACGCACTTACACAATACACACCAAATACTCCAATGACATACCTCATCTACTCCACTGTCAGGTCTTCTAGTCACACAACACACCATGCACCACTGAACAAAATGCACCAGACACACAGCCACATAGCACAACCCCACAGTAACCCCTTTGTATAGCACACTGCACCACCACAGTACATGTTAGCACACACACACAACATACTAGACATGCTGCACTAGACAGATGCTGTGATACCAACAACCCCCCAATGCTACACACAGTCATCCACCACCACATGCTCCCCAAACATCACAATATACTGCAATCCATGCACACAAATGCCATAACATCTGTTCACAAACCTCAACACATCACAACTCAAGCACACACCAACACAAATACTCACAAACCCACAGCACATCACAGCATGTATGCTTTGACTTCTCATCAATCACCTCAGCAAAACACTTTCTGGCCTTACAGATGCTGGCTATTATCACAGCACACATGCCCACAGATACCACAGCCCATCCTTAGCACAACACAGACACATTCACTCACAATTATTTCCATAGCCCAAGTGTATGCAATCATAATTCACAAACTGAACCCCTCCCCTGCGGGCATTCCTGCCCACCACACACAGTGAGAGCACATAGCACACACATGCCACAAACATTGAACACAGTATACCCTGCACTCTGTCTGCGTGTATCCATTTACAGCACACACACCCCACACACACTCTGTCTCTCTCTCTCTGCCCTCCGCTCTCCCTATCCTAGCCCTGACCCAGAACCCAAGGCAGTCCTCTCTGCCCAGTGCCCAGTTCCCTAGTCTCATGGGTCCCAGCCAGATGCCAGCTTGCTTGTCCCTGAGATCACTGCCCTCCAGAGGAGGGCCAGGGGCCAAGCCTGGGAGGCCATGGGAGCCGCCGTGCTGGCTTCTGCCCTGGACGAGCTCCCTTGATCACAGTAATCATAGTGCCAGGCTTGGCATCATGCCCCTCCGGGAACCTCCACTCCTTGACCTCGATTGTCCCCTTGCCCTTCCTGGGGAGGGGGAGGCAAGGATGAGGGTCCAGAGAGGTGGATGGCTCATCCCAAGTCTCAGGAGCCCTGCCTGTGTACCTCCCCCCAGGCTGAGGCAAGGCAAGCTATTGCGGGGGTGACAGGGTGGGGCCTCGAGTGTCTCTGATTCTCTTCAGCCACCAGGGACAAGGGGTGGGAAGGGCAGCAGCCTGGCACTGTGCTACCCAGGCTCGGGTGGGCTGGCAGCCCTAGATGTCAGCATCTGGGGACCTCTCCTCTCCCCTCCATCCTGGCTGGCCCGAGGGTGGGGCCCAGGCATTCCTGTGGTTGGGAGCCAAGGCTGGAGGCCAATCGGGCCGCGGCAGCTGCTGACGCCACCGCCGACGCGGCGAGGCCCCTCCACACCCATCCTCCACTCCCTCCTTCTCCCGACAGCCAGCCTTGAGCCGGGTGGGGGCCACGGGGGAGCCGCAAGGAGGGCAGCCTGAGGGGGTCCAAAGGCCAGGGACAGCAAAGTGGTCAGAGGGGCTTAGCCGGGGGTGGGGAGGGCAGAGGCGGGTCAGGATGCCGCCTCGGCCCGCGACTGTGATGTGATTCGGGAGCCCTTGGAGCCGGCAGGATGGCAGGAGGTATGTGAGTGCGCCCCGTGTGCACGGGTCTGAAGGGGCCGTGCGCGCGCGCGGGTGTGGTCAGCTCGTCCTCATCACATGATGTTGTGACTGGGACTGGGGGTGTAGTTATTTGTGTGTGTGTCTCATTGTGCTTTGCTCTGTGTGTGTGTGTGTGTGTGTGTGGTTCTGGGTGTGTATGTTACAGTGTCTCCTTGTGGTGTGGGGAGGGTGTGTGTGTGTTTGATTTCACCCTCCCGCCCTTTGATACTACCTCTTATAGAGGCCCCCCAGGCAGCTCATCAAGGGCCAGGCTGGGCTAGGCCACAAGGCCACTGTCCCTGGGGGCCACCTCCTTTTTTGGCTGGGCCTGAGCACCAGCCCTGTCACTCCTCAGCAATGCAGCACCAGCCTCAGCTTCCAGTGCCAAATTCCAGGCCTAGAGGTGGCAGAAGGTGGCTCAAGGCCCCTCAGTCAGTTGGACCCCTCTTCTGAGGCTGACACAGAGGGCACAGGGTGGGCACATTCCTCCCCCTCAGTGATCCAGGAGCCAGGCTTCCCGCTCCCCATTCAGGGATAGATGGACAACTGGACTCTCCCAGCCTCCATCCACCCCCAGCCCACCTCACCCTGGACACGGTCCTCAGCTGGCCTCCTTTGCTGTCATCTGCCACCTTGACTGGTGTCTATTGAAGTTTCCCAGCTCTGTGTAAGGGGTTGTGAGCATCACCTGCCACAAGAAAGCAGAGCTGGAAGGCTGCTGAGGCTGGCGGAGGTGGCATTGGTGGTGGGGTGTTGACCCAGGAAACATATTGGAATGTCTGTGGGTAAAAGCAGTCCTTGTCAAAAGTCTTAGAGAAATCAGGCCCAGAGCCTCAAAGAAGTCAAGGAGAGGGAGCCCTGTCTCTTTATCAAGTAGGCGTGTGTATTGAATTCCCAAAAGCCTCTTAATTCTTCTTTGTTCTCTCTCTGAACTGTCTCTGGGGTACGTCCACCAACCATGCACCTACTCAGGACTCTCTCTACTTGGTCCTTTCCCTTCGGTCTCCTTCCTTCTCTGGGCTCCTTGACTGCCCAGGGCTGTACTAGCCCTGCCCTATGGGACTTGTCTGGCCCCACTCACCTGCCTCTGTGTCTCTGACCAGGCCTACTCCCAGGATGCCTACCTGAAGGGAAACGAGCCGTATTCCGGAGAGGCCCGCAGCATCCCAGAACCACCTCCCCTCTGCTATCCCCGCAAGACCTATGTCCCCCCAGCCCGGGTCTCCACCTGGGCCACTATGGTGCGTGAGCCCCTTTCAGCACTGCCCAGTGACCCCCGGAGCCCCGCTGCCTGGAGCGACCCAGGGACCCGAGTTCCGTCTGCTGCCTGTCCCCTTCCAGACTACCCTTCCTTGGGGATGAGCCAGCCCCGCCCCAGCCCTGGTGCCTTCCCCCATCTCCCCTCGGAGCACCGGACGCCCCGTGCCTTCCCAGAGCCTGGCAGCCGGGTGCTCCCCAGCAGACTGGAGTGCCAGCAGGCCTTGTCGCACTGGCTGTCAAACCAGGTGCCCCGCAGGGCGGGGGAGAGACGGTGCCCAGCCATGCCACCCCGGGCCCGCAGCGCCTCCCAGGACCGGCTGGAGGATGTGATTGCCCAACGCCCATGGCCCTGCTCCACCTCCCAGGATGCCTTGAGCCAGCTGGGCCAGGAGGGCTGGCACCGAGCCCGCTCGGACGACTACCTGAGCCGGGCTGCTCGGTCAGCTGAGGCACTGGGGCCAGGGGCCCTGGTGTCACCCCGCTTTGAGCGTTGTGGCTGGGCTTCCCAGTGTCCATCTGCCCGCCCCTCTGCCTGTCCAGCTCGGGACCTGTCGGGGCCTCAGGCCCCACCCCCACCCAGCCTACAGGGCCTGGGCGACATCGGGTACATTGGCTACCGGAGCTACAGCCCATCGTTCCAGCGCCGGACTGGCCTCTTGCATGCACTCTCATTCCGGGACTCACCCTTTGGGGGGCTGCCCACCTTCAATTTGGCCCAGTCCCCTGCATCACTCCCACCAGAGGCTGCTGCTGAACCTCCCAGAGCTGTCCGGCCAGAGTCCAGTACCAGGGCCCTGGAGCCTCCCACTGAGGAACGTCGTGATGAGGTAGTCCTGAGGCAGAAGCCTCCGACAGGCCGCAAGGCCCAGCTGCCCCCTGCAAGACAGATGAACCTCGGGTTTGGTGAGGAGTCCACAGAGCCAGAGGACAGTGAGCGAGGGGAGCGGCCAGGCAGGAAGGTGGCCCCTTTGGCTACTACCGAAGACTCTCTGGCTTCCATCCCCTATATTGGTGAGTGATGGTATGGGTGACTGACTTGGGGGACTTGGTTTTTGGTGCCGTGTTGTACCCCACCCACCTGTCTACTGTGGGCAAAATTGGGCTGACAGGATCCTTTTGTTTCTCTCCCCATCCTGCATCCATCCATCCGCCCATCTTTCCTCCTGTTCATTCTCCCTTGTACCCTGCCTCTCATTCATTCATCCTTCCAGCAGTCTTTTCCTGACCCCTTTCCTGCCTCTCTGCCTCCCTCCTTCCTCCCCTTCTGTCCGTTTTTCCTTCTTTCATTACTTCCTCTCACTCTTCCATCCTTTCATTCTTTCTTTATTTCATCATTCCTTTATTTCTTTTATTCTTTGTTCTTTCTGTCTACTCTCCATCTCCAACAATAGTGATTTTAGGCACTAGGCTGGGCTCTCTGTTCTCCTGGAGAACATGGTCCAGCAGGGGAGGGAGACAATCAGACAGGAACAGTTCAGCAGGATGGAGTGTGATAGAATTACAGGAAGCTCTGGGGGAATATAGGAAGGGCATGGGAGAAGGAGCTCTAGTGGTGTAGTGCCTAAGGCATTTGACTGCTAACCAGAAGGTTGGCAGTTCAAATCCACCAGCCACCTCGTGGAAGGAAGCCTGGCCAATCTACTTCCGTAAAGATTTACTGCCTCGGAAACCCAATGGGGATCGCTATGAGTTGGAATCGACTTGATGGCAGTGATTTTGAGCTAGGGCATGGGGAACCAGGGAGAGAATCCTGGAGGAAGAACATTCTGGCTAAGACTTGAAGCATAAGAAAGAGTTAGCCAGGGGAAGAGTGTTCTGGAAAGAAGGAACGGGATATGCAAAGACCCTGAAGGCTGCCCTTCCAGGGCCATGGGGTGGGTCCTGAGGGGCCTTGTCAGTCACTGTGGAGTTTGGACTTTATCCTGAGGGAACTATTGAAGGCTTGCCTTTGAATTGATATTAGATAACAAAAACTCACTGCCTGCCTTGGAGTTGATTCAATTCACATGACCCCTCCTTGGGTTTCCCAGGTGGTGTCTCTACTCTCTACAGAAGTAGATTGCCCAATCTTCCTTCCGAGGAGTAGAGCTATTAGATAAGGTACAGACAAAAGAGTGGAGAGGCACGGATGATTCCCAGCTTTCTGGTCTGGCTGGAAGGTGGTGCCTCACCCCAGTACTGGGAATGAGAAAGAGTGAGTCAGGAAGAACAGAAAAAAAATGAGGTCTTGTTGAATATGAGGTGGCTGTGAGGCAGCAGGATATATTGAGCTGAGTCTAGGGGTTTGGGAGAAAGACCAGGATGCAAGACCCTGGGCCTGGGAGTGGGGAGCCAAGGGATGATAATTGGAGCTGGAAGTGTTGAGCTCACCCCAAGGCAGTTTGAGGAGTGAGAGGAGAAGAGAGGCCTGTGCAGGGAGAGGAGAGAGAACCCTGGCTGCTCCCTGACAGCCCTTAGGCTGATGGAGAAGATTAAGGAGTCCCTAGTCTGAGGGAGGAGATAAAGTCTATACTCTCAGAAGTTCTATCTATTGAGGGAGACACAGATAGTCCCTGCTCCCAGGAATCTCCCAGGCTGATGGGAGGATATTAGCTCTGCTCTCAGGGAGCCTGGTCTAAAGGTGGTGATTCAGGCTTACTCCTGGGTACCCTCAGTGTGACAGAGAGGATCCGCCTCTGTACACCAAGGGGACAGACTCCATGACCACAGTCTGTTGGGTTGGTCACCCATGGCAGTGGACATGTTGCTTGCAGGGCCTTGGAAGGCTTGAGGAGCTTTGGGATAAGGGCTGGGCCTGGAATTGAGCTTGGGGCTTGCAAGTCTGGGGCTGAGCAGGTGGGCTAAGCTTTCTGCCTCCTCTAACTACCATTCCCTCCACACATGCAGATGAGCCCACCAGCCCCAGCATTGATCTCCAAGCCAAGCACGTACCTGCCTCTGCGGTGGTCTCCAGTGCCATGAACTCGGCCCCTGTCTTGGGCACCAGCCCTTCCTCCCCCACCTTCACCTTTGCCCTGGGCCGCCACTACTCCCAGGACTGCAGTGAGTCTCCTCACATCCCAGTCCCATCCTGGCCCCTATTGTTTGGCCCTCAGGGGTCTCTGTTAGGTCTGCTGCCTGATGTCTGGAGCTCTTCCAAATGGTTTCTGCTGCCCCTGAGGCCCCATGGGGAGAGTCATCTCTTGGCCTTGCCCAGATGGGAGGGCTCCGGGAAGCCCCTGGCCTGCTGCGCTGCTGACTGTGGGCCCTAACGTGGGTGCTTTGCAGGTAGCATCAAAGCTGGCCGTCGCTCCTCCTACCTGCTGGCTATCACCACGGAGCGCTCCAAGTCCTGTGATGATGGACTAAACACCTTCCGGGATGAAGGCAGGCCTCTGCGGTGAGGCCTGGTCTGGACGCAGGGTAGACAGGGCCACGCCCAGACACCTAGGCCAGTTACTCCCTTGGCTGGGCTGTGGCAGGTGTCCTGCCCCTAGGGTGTCCTCTATCCCCCTGGAGCAGTGTTCTTCCTCCCTGGAAGTCTTCTTGGCCTTGGGGGCTTGGGGCCTGATAAGACAGTGAGGTGCTAGCTGTGTTTCCTATGTCCCTCACCTTGGTCCTCACTCCCCAGGCGCCTTCCAAACCGAGTACCCAGCCTGCGGATGCTCCGAAGCTTTTTCACTGATGGGGTAAGTGCCGAGTGTGTGTGTGTGTGTGTGTGTGGTGGGGGGAATACCTCAGACACAGAGCACAGCCTTGGGGTAGGGTTCCAGGTCTGTGGCGGGAAGACCCCTGTCTGTGATCCCAATGTTATGTCTCCCCCTTTCTCCCTTTGCTCACCTACCCTCCTCTCAGCCACATGACTGCAGCCTCACCAGCCTTCTGTCATCCCTGAAAGACACCATACGCCTGCCCACCCAAGACCTTGCACTTGCTCTGCCTGGAAAGCCCCCTTGCAACCGCCGCCCCGTTGCCACATGATTCATTTTTTCACTTTCTTTTTTTTCAAATTATTTATTTTTGTTGTCATTGCTGAGAATACACACAGCAGAACCTACACCAATTTAACAATATCTCTGTGTACAATTCAGCGACGATTACATTCTTCAAGTTGTGCAGCCATTTGCACCATCCTTTTCCGAATCGTCCCTCCCCCATTAACATAAACTCACTGTCCCCCAAGGTTCCTGTCTACCCCTCAGAGCTGCTGTTGTAAGTTTGATCCCATTATAGATCGTTCTTAAAAGAGCACAAAGCTCGAGTCACGAAACAAAATGTGTACGAGCTGTTGAATGTGAAAGGAATCTGCTTTGAAAAATTTCACCCAAATAACAACAAACAGTGAACTAAAACACAAAGCTCAAAGCAGGCATTCTTTACCAATTAAACTAAATTGTTTGGTTTAAAGAAGACTTAAGGGATTTTTTTTTTTTTTTTTTTACTTTCTTCTGGTTTTTTAGTCAAAAGCCACATTCAGTCCCACCCCTGACATTTCAAGTCTCCCTTGGAGCTCTGGTGGCGTAGTGCCTAAGGCATTTGACTGCTAACCAGAAGGCTGGCGGTTCAAACCCACCAGCCACTCTCGGAAGGAAGGTTGGGCAATCTACTTCCGTACTAATACTGCCTCAGAAACCCAAGGAGGGGTCGCTATGAGTTGGACCCGACTTGATAACAATGAGTTTGGATTTTTTTTTTTTTTTGGTTTTTGTTGCTTTGTTTTTTTTCCCTTGGCACTTACCATGTTACACAATTTATGTGTTTCTCTCGTATCTCGCCTCTCTCCCCAGCTAGTGCATAATGAGCGCCATGAGGGCAGCAGTTTTGTTTGTTTTGTTCTCTGCTGAATTCCTAGTACCTAACACCATGCCTGGCACAGGGAAGCATTTAGTCTGTATTTGCATGGTGTCCTCAGGGCACAGGGGAGCCCACTGCAAAGGGGAGCACAGGTTTGAGATGTGACAGAGGAGCTGGCATCTGCAGCCTCGGGACCTGGGAGATGGAGGGTCAGGTCTTAAATGGCTTTACCTTTTGATTGTGGGTGGACTAGAAGAGCCATCTTGACTTCAAACCCTTGATAATATCTCTGGTTAGCTTAATATCTTGATATTATCACCTGTTTTTTTTCCTTATCACTTCCTCTGCTTACTTAGCTCTCCATTGACATGTCACCTCTGTTGCTGGAATCCTGTTGACACTATCACTTCCTCTGTTTAACACTTTGTGGACATGAGTACCTGCTCCATGAACTCACTCACTCAGTTTCTGTTGATGTTCCCACTTCCCCTGTTTATTTAACTCCTTGTTGACAAAATCACTTCCTTTGTTTACTTAATTCCTTTTAGTCCGTAAAGTTAAAGGAGGTCCCAGATTGGCTTTCCTGGCCTGATGAGGCAGGCATGTGGTCATTATCCTTTCTTTCCTTCTGGCTTCCCCATTACACATATCTCATGACCTCGACACAAGTGGCCCAGAGAGGGCAAGCAAGGCCCCTGAGGCCACAGAGTACATCAGAGTGTGACACAGGCATACACCAGGCCCACATGTCTATGTGTGGTCCATGGGGTTCCTGAGATGCTGGCATTGTGGGAACTACCCTAAACTGCCCTCTCCTACCTCTCTGCAGTCCTTGGATAGCTGGGGCACCTCCGAAGATGCTGATGTCCCTTCTAAGAGACACTCAACCTCTGACCTCTCAGATGCAACCTACAGCGATGTCAGGAGAGAAGGCTGGTTGTATTATAAGCAGATCCTCACCAAGAAGGGGAAGGTAAGAAGGCTGGAGGAATGAGCTGGGGTGGATGGAAGCTGGCTCCCCACAGAACTCTTCAACTTCTGCACTCACCTCCACAGCCTCTGAGCTGTGGCAGAGTTTAGGCTATAGCACATGGGGTAGAGACTAGATGCTAGAAAGAACTTCCGGGGGGACTTAGAGAGCACGTGCAGAAGAGGCTAACAGAGAGAGATGGTCTTTGGTATGTGATGGAACTGATGAAATTGTGCTTGGAATTATGACAAAAGGATCCCACAGTGATCCCCGTCTGGAAGATCACCCCAGAAATGGTTTCTGGGGCTCCTGGCAAATAAGGGAGCAAGGGCGATTCATTAGAAGAGCTGAGGCCTGAGAAGAAAGCAGAGGCCAGCTCTTCCAGGGCCTTTGTAGGCCAAGTAAGGATTTCAGCCTTTTTCCTAAGGCAACTGAAAGCCCCTTGGGGCTCTTATGGGAGGTAGTTGCACCTTTAAAAGACCCGTTTGGCTTCCTGGGGGCCAAACCAGAAGCAAGAAGACCAGATAGGAGCTACTACAGAGATCCAGGTGAGAGATGAAAGGGGCTGGGATGGGAGGGAGGTGTGGTGAGGGTACTGGGGAGAGGCAAGCAGGATCCCAGAGATGAGAAGGGCGGGGTGTAATCTGTGGGGTGTGACTCTTGGGTCCCAGGCCAGCGCCCTGGGCTGGCAGCCGGGGAGGAAGGAAGAGGCAGGCAGCTTCATTCTGTCCCTGTGAGAATTCAGACAGCTGACAGTGGTTAGGATGAACCTGGGGCTGAGTTTTGGCTGCATTGCATTTTGCTATGAGAGCTTGGATGATGCACCTATCTATGACTCAGTTTCCTTGTCCGTAAAATAGAGCTAATAATAATCCCCAGCTCATTAGCCTGTGACTGAAGATGAAATGAGGTGATCTAAGTAAGGGGCTTACCCGGTGTCTGGCACTTGGGTGTGGCTTTTCTGCTTATTGGTCTGAATTTGAATTTTCTACCCTACACTGTGTGGGGGGGAGGGGTACGGTGAGGGTGTCTTGTAGTATCAGGAAAGAACACAAACTCAAAGTCAGATAGCCTTTAAGTTCCTGCCAGCACTTAGCAAGCACATGATCTTGGGTGATTCCCTTCTAATGTCTCTGAGCCTCACTTTTCTGGTCTATAAAATGAGGACAGTGTTAACTCTACTCCAGGCACTGTCGTCAGGATTAAGTGAGAGGTGTAGTCCAGGCAGGACTGGCACTCATCTGTGCCCTCATCCATCCTCCAGATAATTACTAAGGGCCTGCACTGCTTGGAGGAGCCCTGGTGCACAGTGGTTAAGCGCTCAGCAGCAAACCAAAGGTCTTCAGTTCGAACCCACTAACTGCTCCACAGGAGGAAGATGTGTCAGCCTACTCCTGTAAAGATTACCCACTGCCATTGACTTGATTCTGACTCTTAGCGACCCCATGGGGTTTCCAAGGCTGTAAATCTTTACAGAAGCAGACTTCCTCTTCCTCCTGAGGAGCAGCTGGTGGGTTTGAACTGCTGACCTTTTGGTTAGCAGCCAAGTGCCTTAACCACTGTACTACTAGACCTCTTTTCCTGTAAAGATTTTAGCTTTGGAAACCCGTTGGGGCAGTTCTACTCTGTCCTAAAAGGTCACTGTGAGTTGGAATCACTTGGACAGCAGTGGGTTTGTTTTTGTTGTTGGACTGTGCTTGGGATTGTCTGTTGAGGTTCTGGGGTTTTAGTGGTGAAGGAGCCAGGCCAGCCTTGCCCTTCTGGGTTCACAAGAAGCAGAGAAAACTATGTTGCATGATAATTTCATGTTATGATGGGGAAGTTCAAGGGTCTAACATATAATTGGGACCCTGACCTCTGCAGTCAAAAAGAATTGATTGATGTTCCAAGCTGCATGGAAGGAACTGGCAAAAAACAAGGCTCCAGGAATTGACGGAATACCCATTGTGATGTTTCAACAAATGGAAGCAGTGCTGGAGGCACTTGTTTATGCCAAGAAATTTGGAAGACAGCTACCTGGCCAACCAACTAGAAGAGATCCGTATTTATGCCCATTCCAAAGAAAGGTGACTCAACAGAATGACGAAATTATAGAGCAATATCCTATGCAACTAAAATTTTGCTGAAGATTATTCAAAAACAGCTACCACAGTATATTGACAGAGAACTGCCAGAAATTCAAGCTAGATTCAGAGGAGGGCATGGAACAAGGGGATATCATTGCTGATGTCAGATGGATCTTGGCTGAAAGAAAGGATACCAGAAAGATGTTTACCCGTGTTTTATTGACTAAGCAAAGGCATTCAACTGTGTGGATCATAACAAATTATGGATAACATTGTGAAGAATGAGAATTCCAGAACACTTAGTTGTGCTCATGAGGAACCTGTACATAGACCAGGAGGCAGTCATTCGAACAGAACAAGGGAATACTGCATGGTTTAAAATCAGGAAAGGTGTGTGTCAGGCTTGTATCCTTTTACCATATTTGTTTAATCTGTATGCTAAGCAAATAATCCAAGAAGCTGGATTATATGAAGAAAAATGTGGCATCAAGATTGGAGGGAGACTCATTAACAACCTGTTATATGCAGATGACACAACCTTTCTTGTTGAAAGTGTAGATGACTTGAAGCACTTACTGATGAAGATCAAAGACTATGGCCTTCAGTATGGATTACATTTCAGTACAAAGTAAACAAAAATCCTTACAACTGGACCAATAAGCAACCTCATGATAAATGGAGAAAAGATTAAAGTTGTCAGGGATTTAATTTTACTTGGATGCACAATCAATGCCCATGGAAGCAGCAGTCAAGAAATAAGACGACAACTATTGCACTGGGCAGATGTGCTGCAAAAAACCTCTTTAAGTGTTAAAGAGCAAAGATGTCACTTTGAAGATTAAGGTGGGCCTGACCCAAGCCATGGTATTTTCAGTTGCCTCATATGCATGTGAAAGCTGCACAGTGAATAAGGAAGACTGAAGAACTGATGCATTTGAATTATGGTATTGGTGAAGAATACTGAAAATACCATGGATGGCCAGATGTGTCTTGGAAGAAGTACAGCCAGAATGTTTCTTAGAAGCAAGAATGGCCAGATTTCGTCTCACCTCATATTGTCACAAGGGACCAGTCCCTGGAGAAGGATATCATGCCTATAAAGTAGGTGAAGAAAGGAAAGACCCTCATTAGATGGATTGACACAGTGGCTGTGACAATGGACTCAACCCTAGCAAATATTGTGAAGATGGCCAAAGACCAGTCAGCATTTCGTTCTGTTGTACACAGAGTCACTGTGAGTCTGAGCCGACACCTAACAACAACAGCAACCCCTGCAGGGTGACAGGAGGATGGAGGGGTTCCTGAAAGCTGAGACCTGAGGATATGTGAAAATCCACAAAGCAGAGGGAGTAGGGAGAAGAAGAAGTGGCCTGGGAGAAATGCAGGAAGGGGCATGCTGGAACCTAAGGTGACATGAGCACAGAGGTGAGCATGGTGGACAGCCAGGCATCTGCCATTGCTTGGGGGACCGCAGCACCCAGGGGAAGCCTTTTCAGGGTCTTAAGTGTGTAGTAGGGAGGTATGTGATACCAGGTGACAAGCGCTGCACCTGTGGCAGTTGGAGACAATGCCATTGCTTTTGTCCAGGTGAGCAAAGGTGGGGCCCTGACCAGGGTGGTGGGTGGTGTGGGGCTGAGGGGAGGGGCACTTGAAATAGAGGTTCAAGGGAAGGATGGCCCTAGCTTTCTGATGGCAGGAAGTGAAAGAGGACAGAGGAGGAGATGATGGCCTGACTTGGGTGTGCGAGGGAGGGGTGGTGGGTGGTGGGAGCATCCCCTAAGGCAAAGGGCACTGGAGAAGGAGCAGGTCTGGAGAAAAGAAGCAAGGGGTTCTGTTGGGGCCGTGTGAAGACCGAGAGCCTGGGAACATACCCCAGTGGAAGTGTCCTGGGGACAAAGGCTGGTGGATGTGGCCCTTAGCGGGCAGGCTGGCACTGGAAAGAGTTGTCCTTCAGTACACCTGCAGCCGCAGATGTAACTAGCCCACGCAGAGTGCAGGCACGGAGCACAGGCAGAAGCCTTGAGCAATCCTGACTTTCAGTGGCTGGGAGAAGAAGTGGGTATGCAGAAGGTGAGGGTGCTGATGGAGGCCTAACAGGAGAGCCAGCAAGATGGGAGGTAAACCAGGAAGGGGTGAGCCAGGCAGGAGGGGAGCAGCTGTGCCAGCTGAGGTGAGTGAGGAAAGGGAGTCAGCCCAACTTTTGAGCCACTGGGAGGGCACTTGTGAGAACCACTGGCTCCTCCCTGCCTGGCACCTCCCTGCCAGGCACTATCCCCTGGCTGGGGCCCCCTGCTAACCTGGGCAGGGAGGGAGCTGGTCAGCTGTGGAGGACAGAGGCTTCTGCTCCCTTCCTGGCACAACCCATTTTCATTCCCAGTGCTGTGGCCTGGCTGTTAAGGAGAGTCCTCAGTCAGCCTCAGGGCCATGGTCTGTTCAGGGTCCTGTTTGCCAGCCAGATGTCATCTGACTCCAGTAGTTCAAACCTTTCTCATGTCCCTTCCCAGCCTCCAGCTTTGTTCATTGACCATAGACTGTCAGGCAGAGAAGGGTGGGGACTGACATGTCCCCACATCCACAGCTCTAGGATTTGAGCCTGGAGACCAGCTAGCTCACCTCTCATTTTAATGACAGGGGACACTGATGCCAGGGGAGGGGCTTGACCCATTCCCGGTCACCCATCTGGTTCCATCTCAGAGTGGTGCCCTTGTCACCATCTCACTGCCACGTAAATATTCTCTGAAGGAACCCTGCTGTCTCCCTTCCCTGAATGTCAGTCCCCTTCCTGGTCCAGCAGGTCTGTGATGGTGGGCGGGGTTCACTGCTGGGATCCACTGGACAGGAGGCAGATGTGGGCTGTGTTCATCGCACCAGCTGTGAGCTTTCCTCATCTTTTGCTCTGAGGGCAGATGCTTGTGCTGGGTGCTGAGTGGTGGGTGAGCAACCAGCCAGAAGAAAGGAGCTCTCTGTCTGATGGGGGAGTTGCAGCCCCTGCGTCAGGGAGTCCCGAGGGTCATTAAAGGACTTATTCAGTAATTACTCATGATCATGTTTCCTGTGCCTGGACAGTTCCAGGCTCTGGGATATGGAGGGCAAGGAGAGACAAGCTGCCTGCCATCCAGGAACTTACAGTTCATTGGGAGAAATCAACAAGCAGGATAACCTGAGCTTGCAATGTATACTGCAAGGAAAACCAGCAGAGAGATGCTATTGATCTTAAGTTGGAAGCAAGGAGAGAGTTGCCTTTAGGAAAAAAATGGTCAGAGAAAGCCTTAAAGAGGAGGTGATGTTGGTGATGTCTGAGCGTAGACCCAAGAGGTGAGGAGTCAGCCACATGAAAGGAGAAAAGGGCTCCAGGCAGAAGGTGTGGCAAGTGCAAAGGCCCTGAGACAGCAAAGACGTGGCTGTTCAAGAAACTGGAAGAGGCCCTGTGACTGGGCAGAGTGAAAAGGAAGGAGGCAGAGAAGATGGGTTTGGAAAGAGGTAGGGGCCAGATCCCGAAAGGCCTTGGATGTGATTCCAAAGTGATGAGTACCCTTGCTAAGCCAAGGGAGAGACAGGATCTCCTTTACTTTTAAAAAATGCTTCATGCATCTGCTGTGTGGAGAATGGGTTGCTAGGGGTGAGTGTGGAAACAGGGAGGTTCTTTGCAGTTGTTGGGGCCAGAGGTGTTGATGGCGTGGATAAGGGCCGGGAAGTTGAAGAAGGTGGCAGGTGATATTTTGGAGGCAATTCAGTTGTGACTCCCTGGTGGATTGGCTCTCGGGGGTGAGGAAGAGGAAGGAGTCAGGGCAACTGCCAGGTTTCTGGGCAACTGGGTGGACTTACTGAGCTGGAGAAGATGGGAGTGGAGAACAGGTTTGATGGGGAAAGTCAAGTGCCCTGTAATGGGCAAGTAGCCTATGAGGTACCTATTGGACATCTGTGTGGAGATGCCAGGCAGGTATGGGACTGTGGCTCAGGGAAATGGTGGGCAGGGATGTGCACTTGGGAATCTCCATCAGCAGACAGACCAGATTTAGAGCGAGGTGCATGGGTGATAGCCTTGAGGGAGGAGGTTCGGGGGAGAGGAGGGACCAGGATGGCGTTCTGGGCCCACCTTCCTGTAGGGCAGCGTTTCTTGACCTCAGCACTGTTGACATTTTGGGCCAGATAATTCTTTGCTGTGGGCACTGTCCTGGGCATTGTGAGGTATTTAGCAGCATCCCTGGCCACGACCCCCTAGATGCCAGTAGCCCTCCCCACTTGTGATCACTAAAAATGTCTCTAAACCAAAACCAGACTCATTGCCGTTGAGTCGATTCGACTCATAGGGACCTCTCCTTGGGTTTCCAAGGCGATATCTCTACAGAAGTGGATTGCCCAACCTTCCTTCCAGGGAGCAGGAGCAGCTGGCTGGTGGGTTTGAACCGCCAGCCTTCTGGTTAGCAGTCAAGTGCCTTAGGCACTATACCACCAGAGCTCCTGAAATATCCCCTGGGGCTGACTTGCCCTGATTGAGGACCACTGATCTAAAGAATGTGTGGGGAGTGGGCCATGGAGGAGACTGAGAAGGAGCCAGTGGAATTAGGAAGAAAACCAGGGAACATGGGGGACCCGATGTCAAAATAGGATTTGGAAAGGGAAGACACGGTGGCTGTGTCTGAAGCTGCTGAGAGACCGAGTTACAAAAAGGGCCAAGAATCCACTGACTTTGACAATGTGGGGGGTATGGGGGCCTTGAGAGTAGTTTCCAGGGAAAGGGGCACCGCACAGTCTTGAATGAGAGGCACAGAGGGTAAGTGCTATGCAGGGAAGCAGTGTCTTGAGAGGGTGTGATTTGCACAAACTGTTTATTTAAGGTGGGTGGTGCAGGTTAGGGGCTCTGATGGCAGGCCCTCCTGCCTCTGATGCCCATATAGAAAAAGTGAGAGCCCATGGTTTCCAGCCAAACAAAAGACAAGCATATGAGTTGAACATTTACCTCAGGTAGATACACTCCTCGGAGAGAATAATCATGGGAGAAAGAAGGGCTGCTTATGCACAGGGAGACAGCTCAGGGGGCAGGAGTGCATGGAGGGATGGACACTGGGAAGAGGTAACTATGGGGAGGAAGTGGGAGGGGGCTGTTGCATTGTGGTAAAGTGTGGTCAATGTCTTGAGACAAAGTGTATGTGAACTGCTGTATGGAAAGTGAATTTGCTCTGTAAATCTTCACCCAAATCTGTATCTATCTATCTATAAAATAAAATAAAATAGAAAAAGTGAGAGGTTAGATATCCTCTAAGGGGATCGAGAATGATGGAGAGGACTGTCTAGGCAGATGGGGGGCTGGAGAGCTTACTGGTGACTATGGGCAGAAGGTGGGCAGTGTGGTGGGGGTCCTCAGTGCTGGCCACTGTCTGCTACTTCTGGGGTTGTCTCTGGCTCTGGGCCGGGCCTCTCACCCCCTCCCCTCCCGTCTCTCCTCCCCACCCTGTGTGTTTCCCTGCAGAAAGCGGGCAGCGGCCTGCGCCAGTGGAAGCGGGTGTACGCTGCGCTGCGGGCGCGCTCGCTCTCGCTGAGCAAGGAGCGGCGGGAGCCCGGGCCAGCGGCGGCGGCGGCGGGGGCTGCGGCGGCCGTCGCAGGTGAGGACGAGGCGGCGCCCGTCTGCATCGGCTCCTGCCTGGTGGACATCTCCTACAGCGAGACCAAGAGGAGGCACGTGTTCCGGCTGACCACCGCTGACTTCTGTGAATATCTCTTTCAGGCTGAGGACCGGGATGACATGCTGGGCTGGATCAGAGCGATCCGGGAAAACAGCAGGGCCGAGGGCGAGGTGAGGGCGGTGCCCAGGCCCAGCCGGGCGGGGCGGGGGCGGGGAGAGTGGGCAGGGCCTGTCTGTCCCCAGGGGCGGCCCCTCGCCAGATGTGGGACCTCGCTTGACCACTCAGAGTCTCCTTTTCCTCTTCTGTAAAATGGGCCACCAACGGTCCACCTTGCAACTCTATCCACCTGGGTTTGGGTGAAAATGAGATAACACTCATGGCAGAGTCCCTGGTGTCCAAGATGTACAGTAACTGGCAGTAACTGTAATAACAGTAATGATGATAATTATTATTGTTACTGTTATTACTGCCTTAGGCAGGCTGTGGTGCAGAGGTCAGCTCCAGGCCAATCTCAGGTCCTCACAAGAAGTAAGGGAGGCGTCTTCTCTAGGGGTGCATTCGAGAATGAGGTGCCTCTGCTTCAAAACTGTGCCTGCCCCTTCTGACAGGGCTGACCTGTCTGCAGGGGAATGAACAAATTGACCTTGGGAGGAGGCCAGGAGGCTTGGCCTTTGGCAGCAGGCGGGCAGGGGTTGAGCCAAGGGCTTTGGCAAGGGTTTTGGAAGAACAAAATAATGGCACCCTATCTGCCAGGCAGCTATACACCAGGGTGCAGGCTTGGTGTGGGGCCTGGGCTGGGTTTCTACCCCCACCTCAACCCCCACACCTCAGCCAGGCACCTGCCCAACGGGGCCTCAGTACAACCTGCACAAAGCCGTGCAGGGTCCTGGGCTGGGGGTTGGTCTTCACCCAGCAGCAGCATGCTCTGCCCATGGGGTGAAGGGGAGCCTCCTAGGCCACAGACAAAGCAAGGAAGAAAGAACCTGGAAGCTAGGGCTCCTGCTGTGGGGGCCTGGCTGGGCTGTCCCCAAAAGGGCATCGGCAGGGCTCCCAAGTTGCCTGCACTGTCATACTGCTGCCCCTCACTGGGTATCTCCCTTGTGCCTGTCGGGACTGTGATGAGTGCCATGTGTATAACTTTGCATCCCAACCCTGAGGTTGCCCTGTTGTCACCCCATGTTACAGCTGAGGAGACTGAGGTCAGAGAGGCTAAGTGGGTTACCCAAGGCCACACAGCTGGCGAGGGGGTGCCTGAGACACAAGCCCTGGTCTCTTTTCCTCCTCCCCGCCCCATCTGTGCTCTCCACCTGGCAGATGGAGAAGAAGGGAGACGAGGCAGGGCCAGGGACGAGCCTGGGGAGGGGCTGGACATGGGCGCTGACTTGCTCTCTTCTCTCCTGCTTCAGGACCCCGGCTGTGCCAACCAAGCTCTGATCAGCAAGAAGCTTAATGATTACCGAAAAGTGAGGTGAGTCCCAGCCCTGGCCAGTGACATGGGATGGGGGGGCGGCGGGGGGAGGCTGCCCTCTGGGCAAGGTTCCTAGTGGAGTAGTCTCCATGGGGTAGGGGCCTCCAGGCAGGGGATGTCCACCTGCAGGCCCCGGGACTGCCCCTGGGGGCAGACAGGAGGGTGAGGAGAGTGGAGGGGGTGGGGAGGCACACCCAGGGGCTCCAGCCCAGATAAGCACAGGACCGCCTGAGGGGGAGGTGCGAGGTGGCGGTACATACTGGGCAGCCCCAGATGAAGACCCTCCTCTCCTGTTTCTTACACAGCCATAGCTCTGGGCCCAAAGCTGATTCTTCTCCCAAAGGCTCTCGCGGCCTGGCGGGGCTCAAGTCTGAGTTCCTCAAGTCTGAATTCCTCAAGTCCGAATTCCTCAAGTCCGAATTCCTCAAGCAGAGTACAGTTCGTGGCCTCAGGACTCAGGACCTGCCTGCAGGGAGCAAGGGTAGGGAGGTGGCTGTTGAGAGGGGGTGGAGGGTGTGTGTGTGGGTATTAGGACTCAACCTGTGGGTCTGCAAAGGGAGAGATTTTGAATGTGTGTATACGCATGTGCACATGCATGTCTGGGCACGTCTGTGTGTGCAAGCATGTGTATGTGTGTTGTCTGTGTCTGTATGCCTGCTTTCTTGTGCCTGTGGGTGTGTGCCAGGGTTATTCCAGTGGGTGTGTGCTAGTATATGCCTGTGTGAGCCTGGGGACTCGAGTCTGATTCCCCTGCACGTGGTCCCAGGTCTCTGCTCATGCACCTTGCAGGATGGGAAGGGCATCAGTAGGGCTCCCAAGTCACCTGGAGGTAGTCGTTTCCATCTCTACATTTTTGGCTGTTGGAAAGTTCTTCCTTTGGTTATACCAGAATCTACAGCTCCCACCTCCTGGTCCTAGTTTTAGTTTCTGAGGCCACATGGAAGTCCTTATATTCTTATGAGGCCTCTCTCCCCCAGGGTAAATGGCCTCGTCCCTTCAGTCTTCTCTCTGGGGATGTAATTTCCTGTCTGTCCGCAGCATCTTGGTTACTTCTCTGTTGGGAGTCCCCATGTGTCCACACACAAGTGAATGTAGCATGTGAGTGTGTGTGACCACATGTGATTGCGGCCTCTCCCTGCATCCCCCAGCTCACGCTGGCACTCTGTTTCCCCCATCCCAGATGACAGTGCTGCCACTCCTAAAGCCCCTTGGGGCATCAACATCATCAAAAAGAATAAGAAGGCAGCCCCAAGAGCATTTGGGGTACGGCTGGAGGAGTGCCAACCAGCCACAGAGAACCAGGTAGGTCCCCCCAGGCTCCAGAAGTAGGGAAGGGGAGAACAGAGGCACTGAGGTGCACGGGACTTTTTAGAACCAGCTCCCTACGTCATGTTACAGCTGGGAAAACAGCCCAGAGAGGAAGGGACCAGCTGGGCCTCCCAGGGTGGGAGCAGCAGAACTGGGTCTGATGCCAGAGTCCCTGGCCCAGCCTGGACCCCTTCTCTGACCATGATGAGGCCCCATAGTAGAGGCAGCAAGGGGCTTCTATTCCCGACACAGGGTTCCTTCCCAGCAGCAGCTCTGGGCCTGGCATTGCTTCTACTGTGACCTCCCCATGGCCTCTGGGTCCCTACCCTAGTGCAGCCTGCACCCTCCTTAACACCCACCTGCCCATGTCCCCAGCGTGTCCCCCTGATCGTGGCTGCGTGCTGTCGCATTGTGGAGGCTCGGGGGCTGGAGTCCACGGGCATTTACCGAGTGCCTGGCAACAATGCTGTGGTGTCCAGCCTGCAGGAGCAGCTTAACCGTGGTCCCAGTGACATCAACCTGCAGGATGAGGTGGGTGCCCCCGAGGGGGCCTGCTGGGGGTCTGCGGGATGTGGGCCCGGGTGGTGTGAGGGGTACTCTGCTGAGGGGGGTTGGGTGGTCCAGTGTCACAGTCATTGGACCCGTCGCTGTGCCCAGCACTAGGCTGGATGAGCAGGAAGCATCACTCCCAGACTGAGGCCTATACAGATGAGTACCTTTTTGGCCAGGGAGCCTTGAGGCAGAGGCTGGGTGGGGAGCAGGAGTGGTCAGAGACTGCTTTGTTGGGAGATGGTGTTTTGAGTGGACCTTTAGAATGAACAGTCATCTGAAACCAGCTGCTGTCATCAGCTCCGACTCATGGCGACCCCATGAACTGCACTCAGTAGGGTTTTCAAGGCTGTGTGACTTTGTGGAAGCAGGTCACCAGGCCTTTCTACCAGATGCCTCTGGGTGGGTTCAAACAACCTTTCAGTTAGTAGCTTACACAACCCAGGGATTCCTTTAGAAGGAGTTGTCGTGGTTGTTGTTGTTAGGTGCTGTCAAGTCTGACCTGACTCATAGTCACCTCTCCTTGGGTTTCCGAGGTAGTATTACTTTGGAAGTAGATTGCCCAGCCTTCCTTTCGAGGAGTGGCTGGTGGATTTGAACCGCCAGAGTGGAGTTCACTAAAAGCCAGGGAAAGTCAAGGAAGGGTGTTCTAGGCAGAGAGGATGGCACTGGCAATGGTGCAGACTTGAAAGTTTGCCAGGGTTCCACAAGCTTTCTCTATAAAACCAAAACCCAAAGCCTCTGCCATCAAGTTGATTCTGACTCATAGCAACCCCCAGTGGGTTTCCAAGGCTATAAATCTTTATGGATGTAAATTGCCTTCCCTTCCTCCCACAGAGCAGCTGTTGTGTTTGAACTGCTGACCTTCTGGTTGGCAACCAAATGCTTTCTCTGTACGGGGCCAGATAGCAAACGTTTTAGGCGTTGGGGGCTGCCGCTGCCGCTGTTGGTACTGCTGCTCTCTTCTGTTCCTGGTGCTCCTCTGCTCCGCCCTCCTCCTCAGCTCCGTTTCCCTTCCTCCTCCTCTGTTTTCTTCTTCTGAAAATGCAAAAACTACTCTTAGCTCAAAGGCTGTCCAAAAACATGTCTGTGGTTTGTGGATTCCCAGCTTAAAGAGACAGCACGTGGTGTTTTCTGGAGCCGCTGGCAGGTGGGGGCACAGCTGACCAGATGACATGAGACCAGCTCAGGAAAGGCTGTCATAACCACACTTAAGAGTTTGCAGCAGGGCCTGTGGTTCTCAGACTGTGTTCTCTGCACTCTTAGGGTTCCCCCGAGGAGCTGGGGGAGGCCAGGACCCTCATCTGTGCTGGAACTGGAGCAGCCCCTTTGGTCTCCCTGCCATGTTAGGTTTTCACGAACAATTTCATTTCACAAAAGGGGTTCTGCCGGAAACTTTTTTTTTTTTTTTTTAAACCCATGTATCTGGGCAGGGAAATGCCTTGAGTCAAATACTGTATAGCTTCACGTGGTCCTTAAGACAGAGTTCATGGGAAGATGGGGAGACACAAATACACGTGACATCAGGGACAAGAGGGAAGGATGAGAAGTTGTCATCAAGGATCAAATTGTGTGGTGAGGAAGGAGAGGATGCTGAGGGTGGGAGCAGGTGGTAGACCAAAATGCTCAAGTCTTTGAAAGTTGAGTAGGAGGGGACAGGCAGGAAGGAAGGTGGTCCGGGCAGGGATGATGGCATTTTCCAAAATCCAGAGAAGGGTTTGAGAGTCGGAACAGAGAGTGGATGCATCTCCTGGGCTTGGAGATGGGGAAGTGAGGCCCAGAGGGACAGGGAGCTGTTGATGGCTGCACTGGCCTTTGACCTTGATCCATGGGCAATAGGGAGCCTGCGATGGTTCTTGTTGTTGTTGTTGTTATGTGCCGTCGAGTCGGCCCCGACTCATAGCGACCCCTCCTTGGGTTTCCGAGGCAGTATCACTACGGAAGTAGGATTGCCCAACCTTCCTTCCGAGGAGTGGCTGGTGGGTTTGAACCACCAGCCGTCTGGTTAGCAGGCAAGTGTCTTAGCCACTATGCTACCAGAGCTCTTAAGCAGAGACAAATGAGAATGGGGTTTGGGAAAGAGTAATGTTTCAGCTTGTGCGTAAAGGATATGAATGAGGGAGGCAGAACAGGGGATTTCAGTAAGAAATTACTGAAACATTGGGAGCACAAGGGGTCAGGAGGACTTTGTGGTGCCGAGAGGATGGGGAAGATAGGAGGAAGTGCTACATGTTAACTATATGAGGGAGAGGAAGGAGAGGCAGAGAAAAAAACCGAAAGTTTGAGCTGGCGGCTGGTGGTATCTGTTTCTGGCTGAAACTAGGGACTGTGGGGAGTGTACTTTTGTTTGTAAAATTATCTGGCATTAAGTTGTGGATCCACTGTAATGAGTATACATACGATAGAATTGTGTCTCTTTGTTGTGGGTATAATGTTGCATTCTGGGCAGGAATTGTTCTGAGCCAGTTCCTACCGAGGTTTTTGGCACTGTTTTGTTGTGATGTGGAGTAATTGCGCTCCCTGGTGGTCAGAAGGAGCAAATGACCCTCAGTTCTTCATTCTTGCGTTCAAGTAGCAAATTACTGATTTAGACCAGCCAAGTGCCAGCTAACATGCTAGCTCGGTGACGGGAATGCAGTGGAGAATAAGACAGATATGATCTCTACCCTTTATGGAGCTTACTGTCCAGCAGTGAGAAAGGCATGATCAAGAAAACACATGCAAAAAATAATCACCTATTATTTGTCTATGTGCCATGGAAGAAACAAAGTCAGGGCTGTGATACAGGATGATGGGGCAGTGGTGGCAGTGGCTACTTTAGCTGTGGCAGTCAGGGAAGGCTTCTCTGAGGAGGTGATATTCAGGCAGGATGAGGAGTCAACCATACGATGGACAGGGAGAGGAAGTTCTAGTTGAGGAACAGCAAGTGCAAAGGGCCTGAGGCAGGAAGGATTGAGGCATGAATGATTGCTGTCATCATACTTAGACTTTGAGGGTAAAGGAAGGGGGCCCAAGGGTGACTCTTTACTAAATGGGGAATGCTGGGATGCAAGAGCTGAACCTAGCACTAGTAGGTCCAGTGATGGGATAGAGAACGAATGCTCACGTCTGTGTCCACAGTGCCTGGCCCAAAGAAGGCATCTGGTACTTCCTGTGGATGGGAAAATATTGGAGCCTACTGGGCTGGCTGGAGCAGGGAGGGGCTGGGGCTAGGGCCTAGATGGGACTCTCTTCTGCTGCCATCATCTCTGGAGAGGATGGAGCTTAGAGCAAGTGGATCACAAGGAGGAGCTGGGCTGGGTTCCACTCTAGGGTTGAACTAGCACCTGGGGGTCTGGGGGTTTGGGCATCTGCACTGGGCCAGGCTGTGGCTTGACACATTTGTCCTCTTCCCAGCGCTGGCAAGACCTCAATGTAATCAGCAGCCTGCTCAAGTCCTTTTTCCGGAAGCTGCCCGAACCTCTGTTCACGGACGGTGAGTAGGAGGTGAAAGTGGACGATGAGGGAACCTGTCTGTGTTCCACTGACCACTTTGGTTTGGTTTGTTGGTTTTACTTTTGTTTTTTTAATGTAAAAGAAATATATGCTTTTGAAAACAACAACAATAACTTAGCACTGACATGAGTAAAGGTCGCTGCACTCCCCTATTTCTTTTCTCCAGAGCTTAATCTACCACTTTCTGAACACTGTGCCAAATGCCACTCCCTAGAACACATGAGGCAGGTCCTATTATCACTGCCTCATAGAAGCAGAAACTGAGGCACAGAGAGATTAAGTTCCTTGCCCAAGGTCATACAGGTTGTGAGTGACAGAGCCAAGGTTCGACCCCAAGCATCTGGTTCCAGAGCCTGCTCTTGACCATCTGCTGAGCTGCTTATTAGCAGTTTGTTGTGTGTCATTTCTGAGCCTCTTACATGCATGACAAAGACACATATGTGGATGTGGGGTTTGGAGTTTGTTGAGTTCCATGGTAAATGCTTAGCATCCAGCTCTCCAGGGGAGAAGAGCCCTGATTTGTAGCATTTGCCAATTTCTTTGGTGTAAATAGGTCCACCATGGCCAATTTCAAGCTACCAATATGATGCCACTGTTGGGAAGGGTTGTATGCAGCACTAGTGTGATGGGCTCCAGCATGCTACTAGTTGGGTTGGTCTTAAAAAAAAAAAAAAGAAACCTGTCACTGTCAAGTCAATTCTCTTAGTGACCTTCTAAGACAAGTAGAACTGCCCCACAGGTTTTCCAAGGTTGTAAATCTGTGTGAAAGCAGACGGCCTCATCTTTCTCCTTTCGGTTAGCAATTGAGCACTTTAACCACTGTACCACCAGGGCTCCTTGTTCTTAAAAGCGGGGCTGTAATTTTGAGATTCATTCATGCCAGTACAGAGAGTTCTGCCTCATCCTTCTTTTAGGTCAACCACTTAGTATTTAATCTAAATAGACTTTGATTTCTTTAACCACCCCTCTATTGATGGATATGTGGGTTGTCTTCAAATTTTTTACTATTACAAAACATTGCAATGACTTTCCTTGAACAAGTCCTTGCAAGCCTGGATGCGTGTTCTCTAAGTAGATTCTTAGAAGTAGAATTGGTAGGTCAAGGTCCCGGTGAACATTTTTGAAACTTAATGTCAAATTGTAAGGCTCTCTGGTGGTACAGTGCCTAAGGCATTTGACTACTAATCAGGAGATTGGCAGTTCAAACCCACCAGCCACTCCACGGAAGGAAGATGGGGCAATCTTCTTCCATAAAGATTTACCACCTCAGAAACCCAGTGGAGGTCATTATGAGTTGGAATCAACTCTATGGCAGTGAGTTTTTAAAGTTTTTTCAGATGTCAGATTGTGCTCTGAGGAGACCCTAGTTCCCACTCCCACTAACAGCATAAGCAAAGCTTTGTCTCACTACCTCCCGACCGACATTAGGTGTCATTAATATTTTAAACTTTTGCTAATCTGATGAGGGAAATGGTCTCTCATTATTGTTTTCATTTTCATTTCCTTCATTAGTAGGAAGATTACCTATCTTTTCATTAGTGTATTGGCCTTTTTTGTTTCCTTTGCATTTGACTATTCATACTGTGTGTCCATTTTTCTGCTGAATTGTTTACCTTTTTTCTTATTGATTTGAAGGAGACAACCTTTTTGTATAGTATGAATATTAATCCTTTGTTAGTTTTTGCAAATATTTGCTCTAGGTCTACATTAAGGAGCTCTGATGGCATAGTGGGTAAGGCATTTGGCCACTAACAAGTAGTCCAGCGGTTCAAACCCACCACCCACTGCTCTGCAGGAGAAAGATGAGGCAATCTACTTTCGTAGATTCTACTTCCCAATAGGGGTTGTTGCTATGAGTCAGATGCAATTTGATGGCAGTGGGTTAGGTCTACATTTGTCTTTTAACTTTTTAGTATTAAAATTAAAAAGAATTTTTTATCCTGCGTAGAGAGGGAGAACAATGTGGAACAAAACTCAAAATCATTTGGAGGCAAAAAAAAAAAGAAGGTGGGGACCAGGTTTGCTAGTCCAATAGAGCCTGGTGGAACCACTGAGACTATGGCCCCTAGCTGCCCTTCAGGTCTGGAATTGAACCCACACCTGCGGTTTCCAGCCAAACAAAGTACAGGCATGTGAGTTAAACATTTACCTCAAGTAGACACATGCCCTGGAGAGAACAACCATGGGAGAAGGAAGGGCTGCTTATGCACAGGGAGACAGCTCAGGGCGCAGAAGAGTATGAAGGGATGGACACTGGGAAGAGGTAACTATGGGGAAGAAGGGGGAGGGGAGCTGCTGCATTGTAAATTTTGGTCAATGACATGAGACAAAGTATATGTGAACTGCTGTATGAAAAGTGAATTTACTCTGTAAATCCTCACCGAAATCAAAATAAAATTTAAAAAACAAACAAACAAACAAAAAAAACCAATTTTTAAAATGTAGTCAGAGCTATTAATTTTTCTTTAATAGCATCTCAAGTTTAGGAAGACTTTACAATTATAAAATTATTTTCTTATTTTTTCCCAATGTTTTTATAATTTTAATATTTAGCACTGTAATACAGTTAGATTTGTATATTGTGTGAGATAGAAATTAAAATTTTTCTCAGAAGGCTAGCCAATCATCCTGGTAACTTCCTGATGATTAGAAGTGCCTTGTGATATAGTAAATACCAACATGGTCTGTTTCCCTCCTTTCTGTCCTTGTCATTATTCAGCTTGTCTGTTTCTCTTCCAGTACCATACTGCTTTGGTCATGCTACTTTGTAGTATGTTTCATTGTCTGGTAGGTCAAATCCTCCCTCATCATTCTTACTTTAAAAAAAAAAAATCCTTGATCCAGATAAAGACACCACAAGAAAAAAAAATTACAGACCAATATCTGTTTTCAATATAGATGTATAAATTATCAACAAAATATTAGCAAACTAAATCCAACAGCATGTTAAAAGAATTATACATGTTGACTAAGTGGGATTTTTTTCCAGGAATGCAAGGATGGTTCAACATAAGAAAATCAACCAATAAAACACACCATATTCATAGAAGGAAGGAAAAAAACCCACATGACAATCTCAATCAAGAAAAGGCATTAGACAAAATCCAACAGCTTTTATGGTAAAAACATTCAACAAACTAGGAATAGAAGGGCAATTCCTCACCATGATAAAGGATATTTACAAAAAACCCACAGCTAACACACACAATGGCGAAAGACTGAGAACTTTCTTCCTAAAATCAGCCACAAGACAAGGATGCCCACTTTCACTACTGCTATGTAACGTTGTGCTGGAAGTTCTAGCCAAAGCAACTAGGCAAGAAAAAGAAACAAAAGGTTCTTAAAAATTGGGAAATAAGAAATAAAACTATCTCTATTTACAGAGGACATAAGTCTATGTATATAAAATCCTGAAGATTCCATATGAAAGCTGCTAGAACCAATAAACAAATTCAGCAACATTGTAGGATACAGAGTCAACATACAAACATCAGTTGTGTTTCTGTACACCAGTAATCTGAACAAACTGAAAAGCAAATTAAGAAAGCAGTTCCATTTACAAAAGCATCTAAAGGGATAAAATACTTAGAAATAAATTCAACCAAGGAAGTGAAAGACTTGTACAGTGAAAACTAGAAAACATTGCTGGAAGAGATTAAGGAATATCTAAATAAATGGTAAGATCCTGTGTTCATGGTATTAGAAGACTTAATATTGTTAAAATATCATCACCACCCAAAGTGATCTACAGATTCAATGCAATCACTATCACAATTCCAACAGCCTTTTTTTTTTTTTTTTCTAGAAATAGAAAAGCCAATCTTCAAACTTATGTGGAATTGCAAGGGGCCCTAAATAGCCAAAACAATCTTGAAAAAAAAGAACTAAGTAAGAGAACTCATACTTCCTGATTTCAAAATGTACTATAAACCAAAAAAAAAAAAAAAACCACTGCAATCGAGTTGATTCCGATTCATAGTGACCCCTGTTAGGTTTTTGAGGCAGTAAATCTCTATGAAGTAGATTGCCCAATCTTGCTTCAGTGGAGTGGCTGGTGGGTTTGAAACACCAGCCTTCTGGTTAGCAGTCAAATGCCTTAGGCACTGTGCTACCAGAATTCCTAAATGTACTATAAAGCCCCAATAATCAAAACAGTCTGGTATAATGATAGACATACAGACAGTGGAATAGGATGGAGAGTTCAGAAGTAAACTCATATGTCTATAATCAGTTATTTTTTGACCAAGGTACCAAATATATTCAGTGGGGGAAAGAATAGCCTTTTTGACAAATGATGTTGGGACAACTGGGTTTCCATGTGCAAAAGAATGAAGTTGTTCCCCTACCTCATACCATGTATGAAATTAACTCAGATTGAATCAACAGCTCAAATATAACCGCTAAAATCTAAAACATTTAGAAGAAAATACAGGAGCAAATCTTCAGGAGTTTGTATTTAGCAATGGATTCTTAGATATGGACACCAAAAGCATGGACACCAAAAGCATGAGTACCAAAAAAAAAAAAAAAAGAAAAATTAGACTTCATCAAAACAAACAAAGAAAAACTCTGTACATCAAAGGACAGTATCAAGAAAGTGAAAAGATAATCTAAGAATGGGAGAAAATATTTGGAAATCCCATATCTGATCAAGAGTTAATATCCAGAATATAAAGAATTACAGTTCAACCAGCACAAGAACACTAAGGAAAAAGAAGACACAGAGAAGCTCACGAGAAACACAGACAACAAAGGCAAACACTTTTGCATACACAATACTGCACTGTCAGTAATAGCAAGCATTAATCTATGGGAGGATGCATAGGTGGTGGTGTTGTTATGTGCCGTCGAGTTGGACCCGACTCATAGCGACCCCTCCTTGGGTTTCCAAGGCAGTATCAGTACGGAAGTAGATTGCCCCATCTTCCTTACAAGGAGTGGCTGGTGGGTTTGAACCGTCAGCCTTCTGGTTAGCAGTCAAGTGCCTTAGGCACTATGCTACCAGAGCTCCCAATGCATAGGTAGACAGGCTAAATAATCAGGTATGGCTCTGCAAAAGGTAATATTCCCATGACCATATATCAGTTTGGCAGAACATACTTCTATGTACGTGTTTGTATGTGCTCTAAGAAGATCCATTTATGTAACAGAGCTAACAGAGGGCAAAGTTACAACTTCTTAGCCACAGCCAAACACCTTGATGGAGTGAGTTAGTGGGGCCATGGGCTCAGGACCATGGTTGTCAGAGACATCAAGCTCAATTGGCATAACATAGCTGTGGTGGTTATATTTGTGTGTCAACTTGGCTGGGCCTGGTTGAGTGGCTGGGCAGCTGGTGGTAGTTATTACCATGATGAGACTGGCAGTCAACTCCATGGTGGGATCTACCACAAGCAGCTGAGTAGCTGCTTTGGGTATGTGGTCTGCCTCCCATATATAAAAAGCAGCTTTGGGGATGGTCTCTAGCCTATGGCACGCTTGAACCCTGCATGTAGCCTTGTCATTGTTTAGCAACCTGCCATGCTCTGCTGACCTTGGGACTTAGAATGGACTTAAATTAATGGTCTGCCATGTGGTTTGGTAACATCTGGACTGTGCCTTTTTATTTGTCAACCTTGGGTTTGTCAGCCTCAGCAGCTAGCAGCTGTCTGAGTGAAGAAACACCTCCAGCTTCAGTGGGCCGGGAGCAGGAGGCACACTTGAAGCCCAAGGTCGAGAGGCTTTTTGAACTTGGACTTAAAGCCTCCAAACTGTAAGAGAATAAACTCCTGTTTGTTAAGGCCATCCCACTTGTGGTATATTTCCTGTCAGAGAGGCACTAGGTAACCAGAACAATAGTACACAAAAACATTGCTCTACATCCTACTTTGGTGAGTAGCAACTAGAGCCTTAAAAACTTACAAGCAGCCATCTAATATGCAACAATTGGTATCTCCTCATCCAGAGAAAAGAAAAATGAAGAAAATCAAAGACGCAAGAAAACCATTAGTCCAAGGGATTAGTGAACCATTTGAACTTCAGCCTACATGACCCTGAGATCAGAAGAATTAGATGGTGCCTGGCTACCACTGTTAACCACTCAGAAAGGGCTCAGAATAGGAGATCCTGGATAAAGTGGGAGAAAAAAAATAGGGGACAAAACTCAAAATCATGAAGAAAGACCAGGCTTACTGGTCTCATAGAGACTGGTGAAACCTCTGAGACTATGGCCTCTAATCATCCTTCAGGCCTGGAATTGAACTTACTCCCATGACTTCCAAACAATAGACAGGTATATAAGGTAAACATTTTTACCTAGGTACACTCCTGAGAACAGTCAACCATGGAAGATCAGAAGGGCAGCATTTGCGCAGGGAGATACCTCAGAGGGCAGGAATGCATAGGAAAGGATACAGGGAAGAGCTAACTATAGGGAGGAAGTGGGAAGAGAGCTGTGACATCATGGGAATTGCAATCACTGTCATGAAACAAAATACGTATGAACTGTTTAATGGAAAATGCATTTGTTCTGTAAACTTTGACCCAAATCACAATGATAAATAAATAAATAAAAGGGGGGACTATAATTCAACAAAAAGACAGTATGTATGTGTGTGTGTGTGTGTGTGTGTGTACAGGAGCTCTGGTAGCGTAGTGCCTAAGGCACTTGACTGCTCACCAGAAGGCTGGTGGTTCAAACCCACCAGCCACTCCTCGGAAGGAAGGTTGGGCAATCTATCTACTTCTGTAGTGATACTGCCTCAGAAACCCAAAGACGGGTCACTATGAGTCGGGTCTGACACAACAGCACATAACAACAACAACAACAATAACATACACACACACACACGTATATATACATATATATAGAGAGAGAGGGAGAGAGAGAGTTGTTATGTGCCATCGAGTCAGACCCGACTCATAGTGACCCCTCCTTGGGTTTCCAAGGCGATATCACTACGGAAGTAGATTGCCCAACCTTCCTTCCGAGGAGTGGCTGGTAGGTTTGAACTGCCAGCCTCCTGGTTAGCAGTCATGTGCCTTAGGCACTATGCTACCAGAGCTCCTATATATATATATATATATATATATAAAAAACAAAAAAACAAACCCATAACTGTCAAGTCAATTCTGACTCTTAGTGACCCTATAGGGCAGAGTAGAACTGCCCCATAAGGTTTCCAAGGCTGTAAATCTTTATAGAAGCAGAGTCTTTCTCCCATGGAATGGCTGGTGGGTTTGAACCACTGACCTTTCAGTTAGCAGCTGAGTGCCACTGGGGCTTCTATATGAATGTTATTCAGCCATAAAAAGAAATGAAGCTCTATTACATGCGACAACATGAATGAACCTTGAAAAGTTTATGTCAAGTGAAATAAGCCAGACACAAAAGACCAAATACTATATAATAATCCTGCTTAAATGAGTTATCTAGAGTTGGTGAATGCAGAAAGTATATTAATTTGCAGAGGCTGGGGAGAAGGGAGAGTGGACAGTTAACACTTAATGGGTACAGAGTTTCTGCTTGGGGTGATGAAAAAGTTTTGGAAACAAATAGTGGTGGTATACAACACTGAATCTAATTCCACTGAACTGCACACTTAAAAATGGTTAAAATGGCAATTAAAAAAAATTTTTTTTTGTAATTTGGGTGAAAGTTTACAGAACAAATTAATTTTCCATATAGCAGTTGATACATGTTTTGTTTCATGACATTGACTTCAATTCCCCACAATGTCACAGCTTTCTTCACACTTCCTCCCTGTAGTTACCTCTTCCCTGTGTCCTTTCCTATGCATTCCTGCCCTCTGAGGCATCTCCCTGTGCAAATACTGCCCTTCTGTTCTCCCACAATTGATCGATTGATCACTCTAAGGAGAGTATCTACCTGATGTAAATGTTCACCCTATATGCCTGTCTGTGGAAGCTCTGGTAGTGTAGTGCCTAAGGCATTTGACTGCTAACCAGAAGGCTGGCGGTTCAAACCCATCAATCTACTTGGGCAATCTACTTCTGTAGAGATACCACCTGGGAAACCCAAGGGTCGCTGTGAGTCGGATTCGACTCGATGACAGTGAGTTTGTGTGAATTTATATGCTTGTCTGGAAGCCACAGGAGACGGTTCAATTGCAGGCCTGAAGGGTAGCTAGGGATCATAGTCTCAGGGGTCTCACCAGGCTCTATCAGACTAAAGTGGCAAATTTTATGTTATATATATTTTACCACAATAAGAAAAATATACCCTTGACTATTCTTGTATATTTACTTGTCCAGCTGAATTTTAGAATGAACATAATCATGTTCCATCTTAAAAGTTCCCTGTGGACTTTTGAAGGGAGGTAGGGAGAGCCTGACACAGGAGTGTGTGGTATTTGGAGACCCCTTCCTCTTTCAGGGTAACCTTTCTCTTCTGGTCTCTGATCCTTGGTGTCCTGGAGACCAAGCAGGAGCTTCCTTTCCAGTATCAACATACAACTCAGGTCTTTTTTCTTCCCAAACACACCTGGGTCAACCCTTGTCAGGTGCACACCTGGGTACAGGTGTCGTGGGCTCAGACACAAATACAAAGTCCCGGTGCACCAACAGTCAGCATAAGCACAAGACACTGAATCCCAGCAAGCGCCACTCAGCCAGCTGGGGCCTGCCCGCCCTGAGAGTACACGAAGGGGCTGCCCCACCTCTCTAAAGAGTCTTCACTGTGTTCTAGACAAATACAACGACTTCATCGAGGCCAATCGTATTGAAGATTCAAGGGAGCGGATGAAGACGCTGCGGAAGCTGGTAAGGCCAGAGAGATGCTATAGGGAAAAGGCACTGGTGGGCCAGGCTGGGAGAGCACCACCTGTCCCTGGAGGCCCAGTGCCACGATGCCCTCGTGAGCCTAGAAAGACGCTTCTCACTCTGAGCCTCAGTTTCCCTATCTGTACAAGGGGAAGGCAGAGGGAGGATTCCAGACCCTCAAGTAAAGCAGTGAGAGCCCCTGTGAGGCACAAAGGTCGCGGGGAGCATTATAGCCTGACTTCATGCCCCTGCTCTCTCCCACCCAGATCCGGGATCTCCCAGGACACTATTATGAAACACTCAAATTCCTTGTGGGCCATCTCAAGATCATTGCTGACCACGCCGAAAAAAACAAGGTAGGTGTGTTTTCAGCATGGAATCTTGGGAAGCGTGAGGTTTAGGGCATCTCCTCTGGCCTGCCCTTCTCCTTTAAAAGGTCCTTCTCTCCCCACCCTGTCCCCTATACGCCTGCAGTGCTTCTCCCTGGAGAGCTCTCTCCTGGATTTCTGAGTCTTCTAGAGGTGGAGAGCCACAGCTTCCCTGGATTTGATGGAAGTCCATCCTCTGATCTAGCTCAAATCCCTTGCACTGCATTTTCCTAATCAAACTCCTTGCATCTTCTTATTCTTCAGTGAGGGGGTGGGGATGAGGAGAGCTGTAGGATTTCTCCCAGTCCTAAAATAAACCCTAGGGACCATACCTCCCACTGCTAGCAAGGGGAGGTGCTAACCGCTCAGGGTTGCTGTGTCCTGAGTGTGCCGGTTCCTACCAGGTGCTAGGTGAATAGGGTTAGAATCTGGCCTGTGCTGTTTGTCCAGTGATGTCATGCCCATGCAAGGGGTGTCTGGCCCTAAACTGGGGCCAGCTCAGGGTGTGGTCTGTGACAGGGGCCCAAGGGAGGCCTGGGAGGTGTGGGAGGTCAGAGCTTGACGCGGTGTTGACCCTGACCTGCTTCTCTCCTCTGTCCAGATGGAGCCCCGGAACCTGGCCCTGGTCTTTGGTCCAACTCTGGTAAGGACATCTGAGGACAACATGACGGACATGGTAACACACATGCCTGACCGCTACAAGATTGTCGAGACCCTGATCCAGCACGTAAGCAGCCTATCTGTGCGTGTGCCCTTTGAACCCAGGCTGTGTCCCTCTGAGCACCTGGCTTCTGCTCAGCCCGAGGGAAGGCTTAGATAGTTGAAGAAAATGCCGCTGGGATGCTGAGTGTTTCTGTTTGGAAGTAATAGGCTTTCAAGGCAAAACAGGAACAGAGTCCAGAATCCCTGTCGCTCTGGGATGTTGGGTCCCCAGCAGGAGGATCAGGAGGCCTCTGAGCTTCTAAAATGAGTGTGAGAGTCTGAGGGAGGAGGAAGGCCCACGAAGGTGGACGCAAGGCCCAGGAAGGTGGACGGAGGCATGCCTTCAAGAAGATGGTTCAAGGACAGGCATGCTCTTGGAAATGGACAGATGGGGGCAGAGGCAAGAGCACAGCTCTGGCCTGGGAGCCAAGAGGCCTGGGTACTAGTGACACCTTCCCTGTAGGCCCCACTGAGGCTTCAGGGAGCTAATGGTGATTCCCTGTGTGTGGGGGGTGTGGGTAGGGTGGGACAGAACAGAGAGCATGGGCCTGAAGTGGGAGTCCTTCGGGGACCCCGCACTGCTGCTTCATGTGTCTTTATCTGGTTGCCTCTCTTCTTATGGGTTTGTGGAGGCACTAAGAGCAGCCCCCCTTGTGTTTCTATATATTCTTGTTATTGCCCATCAAAGGATGAGAACCCTAAGTGGCCAGCAGAGGGCGTTGGAGGCATTGGTCCTCCAGAGCCAAAACCCAAAGGCACCTGAGCTGGAAGGGGCCTTAGGCATCCAGACCAGTCTACAGAGGATGGAGGGGAGGTATAAAGAGGAGCAGTGATTTGCACGCATTGGTGGTATTTCTCCCTTGACTTCTTGTGTCTGAGCGTTGCTATTGAGAGTTCTAATTACAACTGATACTTGTTACTTTGTAGGCAACTGTCTTTATTTTTTCAGATAACTTTTAAGAGTTTTATCTTTAAGATCCTTAAGTGAACATGTGTGTTTAAGTGTGAGGTTTTCTCTTGATTTCTTATCCTGTCTGACATTTATGAGAAAGTCCTTGCCTTTTTTTCCTCCCAGGAGACCTCTTAATAGCTCTCTCCTGGCACTGTCCTCTTCTGGGTTGGGAGGCTGCCCACCCCCAGTTGTCAGTGGGGAGCGCTATGTCCTGTCTTGGACTCTGGGAGTTCTAGCAGCCATCTCTGGTGTTCTCCTGCCAATAGACTTGGCTGGCACTAGAGGGCGCTGCGGCCTCCATGCCTTCCCCTTAGCAGTAGGGAGGGTACCACAGTGTTGTGCTCAAGACAATGTTGGGTGAAAAACAGGCAAAAAGAGAAGCGCTGTTCTGTGCTTGGTCCTCTCCCACTCCGGGATTCATTTCCCTCCCACACCAGGGCCCAACCTTTTCCCTCTGGTGGTGTAGTGCCTAAGGCATTTGACTGCTAACCAGAAGGCTGGCGGTTCAAACCCACCAGCCACTCCTTGGAAGGAAAGTTGGGCAATCTACTTCCGTAATGATACTGCCTCAGAAACCCAAGGAGAGGTCACTATGAATTGGATTGGGCTCAACGGCAGTGAGTTTGGTTTTCTGAGGGTTTCTCACAGTTTGGGGGGCTGGACTCCAGGATCCGCCAGCCTCCCTCTGAGACCTCCTGTAACCGGGCCAGCCCCGGGGCTGTTGCAGAGGAAGGGGAAACCCTGGCTTTTTTTTTTTTTTTTAATAATATTGTATTTTCGGTGAACTTTTACACAGCAAATTAGGTTCTCATTTAACAACTGCTACACAAATGTTTGGTGACAATTGATTACATTTCTTTCACTGTGTGTCACCGTTTTCATTAATTCTACTCTGGGTGTTTAGCTTCCAGTGATCTAGTTTCCCTGTCCCCTTACCCCTTCATCTCTGCTTAGAGTAATTGGTCTCATATAGGAGCCCTTGTGGTGCAGTGGTTAAATGCTTGGCTGCTAACCAAAAGGTTAGCAGTTCAAACCTCCCAGTTGCTCCGTGGGAGAAAGATGTGGTGGCACTCTGCTTCTGTGAAGATTTACATCCTTGAAAACCCTATGGCACAGTTCTACCCTGTCCTGAAGGTTGCTGTGAGTTGGAATCTACTCGATGCCAGTGGGTTTGGTTTTGGGGCTTTGGTTTGGTTTCATATAGATAATTTTTAGAAGGTGCACAGTACTCACTGGGAATATTCTTTATTTTATGAATCAATCTGTTATTTAGCTAAAAGGTGACTTCAGGGGGTAGTTTCAGCTCAAGATTTATGGAGTATCTCAGGGTGATAGTCTTAGGGACTCCTCTAGTCTCAGCTGATTCAGTAGGTCTGGACTTTTTTTGTTGGGGGGCATGGTGAAAGTTTACAGAGCAAATTCATTTTCCATACAGCAGCTCATACACATTTTGGTTCATGACATTGACTGTTGTTCCCCATAATGTAATAGCTCCCTTCCCACTTCCTCCCTGTAGTTACCTCTTCCCTGTGTCCTTCTTTCCCACGCATACTGCGCCGCCCCCCGCCCCATGCAAACACTGCCCTTCTGTTTTCCCATGATTGATCGCTCTAAGGAGTGTATCTACTTGATGTAAATGTTCATCCTATATGCCTGTCTGTTGTTTGGCTGGAAGCCATGGGAGTGAGTTCATTTCCAGACCTGAAGGGTAACTAGCGGCCATAGTCTTGGGGAAAGTCTGGACTTTTTAAGAAGGACCATTGCCCCTCAGTGCCCTCTCCTGCCCTGCACCGTTCAGCACCTAAGTAGGTCCTTGGGACCGATCAGGTTGCAGCGCTCATGCCTCCGGGTCTTCCCTCAGCCCCTTCCCATGCTGATTTATTTGTTTCCTTTTGTCTCCCCCGCAGTCAGACTGGTTCTTCAGTGACGAGGAGGACAAGGGAGAGAGAGTAAGTGATGCAAGGGGCTGGTGTGGAGCGGGGTCTGGTCCCAGGTGGGGGAAGGGGCAGCAAGCCTCGGGCAGGGAAAGATCCCTGTCCTTGGGGCCCCTGCAGTTTGATGGAGGAAACACAGACCCTCTTCTGAGGATCCTCCAGTCTGATGGGAGAGACATAGTCCTTGCCTTCATGAGCCCAGAGTCAGATGGGGGAGATAGGCCCCGCCCTCAGGAAAGAAAACCAGTCCAGTAGGCGAGGCAGTCCCCACACTGTGGTCTTCTGTGGAAGACAGAAGTCTTAGGAAGCTCTAGTCTGATGGGAGAGACACAGCTCCTGCCCTCAACTGAGGGAACAACTCGGGGGCCTGCAGGGGTTCCGTCAGGTGCTGGGGAAGGCACAGTGCCATCCAATGGGGATCATATAGGAGGCCCTGCCTCCAAGAGTGCCTGACTGATGAGGGAGCTGTCCCTGCCCTTGGAGACGCAGTCTGATGGAAGAAGCATGGGCCACCTTCAGAGCACCCCATTCTGAAGGGTGCATGGTCCAGCCATCTGAGGGCGTGCTGGCTGACCCTCCTTCCTCTTTGCAGACCCCTGTGGATGACAAAGAGCCTCAGTCAGTGCCCAACATCGAGTACCTCCTGCCCAACATCGGTAGGACGATGCCTCCTGCTGACCCAGGTTCAGGTGAGTTCAGGCGCAGAGGAGTGGGATGCAAGCTGGGGGGTGGAGGGTGGGGAGTAGGGGGATGGGGGGGGGGGGCTCTGCACTACTGAGGGTCCCAGGTGCCTGGCCAGATGACCAGCTTCCCTGCTTTTGCCCAGTGGGGCCCTCCCCTGCTGCTAAGCCTGCAGCATGGCAGGGCCCTCTCCCTCTGGGGAAGCCCTGCTTGCCCTGCCTGCCCCTGCCTGGTCTCCTGGGCCGCCAGGCCCCGGCTGGGTCAGAGTGGCCCTGCCTCTGTTTGCCCTCCTTCACTGGTTTCCTACCTGAGCCTTTAATTTCTTATGGGCTGTGCGGCCTTCTGGGCATGTTCTCTTTTTAATTTTTCTTCCTTTTTTCCTGCACCCCCTCCGCCCTTCTCCTTCCTCTTTTCCCTGTACTCCCCTCTCATCCCCCCTTGACCCTGCTCCCTTCCTTTCTCCTCCCTACCACCCCCTGTCTCCTCTCCCCCTCCAGCGGACCTGTTGGAGATTTAAAGGGTACAGTGCGGTTTTGCGCCTCGGTCACTAACAGTGGCGGGTGATTATAAGAAGGCTGGGCAGGCATGAGGGGGAGGGGAAGTGTCTTGGACCTCTCCCTGATGTACCAGTCACCCATGCCCACTAAGAACCCTGACCCCAAGAGGCCCTTCTCAGGAACGAGGCACTGGATGGAGCCAGATCCTATCTTGCCAGGAAGCGTGGCACAAGGTGGCTGCCCTCTGCAGTCCCCAACTCTGCTGCTTTCCCTCTGTGCTGAGTCCTGTCCCCTCATGGTCATTTGCCTGCGAGAAGCTCTGCTGGTAGTGCAACCTAGCCTCTCCTGACACCCAGGATGCCACCTCCAGAACCTTCTCCATATCTATAGCTCCTGCCTCAGTCACTCCAGGGGCTAGCTCTTCCTACTTCAAAACCCAGAGCCCCTGCTCACTCAGCCCCTCTAGTTCTGGGGCCTCTGGCCCTCTCATAGCTGAGGAAAGATGATTTACATGCCCAGAGACAATGGCCAGTGCCTCCTGGGCTGAAGTCACTGACGCCCTGCCTCTTTCGTATTTGACTGGTCCTTTTCTGACAAGGAATCCTTGGGTGGTATGACTGGTTCAGGGCCTCTGAGAAGTTGGGAGTTCTGTCCACCTCGAGGTATCTCAGGAGAAAGGCCTGGAAATCTGTTTCTGAAAACACTACACCAATAAAAAACAAACTCACTGCCCTCGAGTCAGACCCAACTCATAGTGACCCCTCCTTGGGTTTCTGAGGTGGTATTACTATAGAAGTAGATTGCCTAGCCTTCCTTCCAAGGAGTGCCTGGTGGGTTTGAACCACCATCTTTCTGGTTAGCAGTCAAATGCCTTAGCCACCAGGGTGCCCCAAAACACTATGGGGCACAGTTTACTGTGGCACATGGTATTGCCATGAACCAGCATTGTCTCTGACAGGCACACAGCCCCTCTAGTGGCAAGAGGCAGGCTTGGGGAGGGGGGCAGGAGGTAGAGAGGAGGGGATGACAGAGAGGAGCCCCCGGCCTCTTCTAATCACCTGCTGCCGCTCGCCTGCCCCTTGTGTGTGCTGTGTGCTCGGCCCCATCTCACTCTTCTCACCATGGGCAGGGGTGGGGCCTAGGGACGAGGCATCTAACTTGCTTGCCAGAGAGTGTGGATTAACCGCACCCTGCCCACTGCTCTACTGGACCTGGGAAGCCTGCTCCCTCCTCTGTCTGGTAGCACTGCCGGGACTTGTTTCTGGCTCCTTCTCTACGCCGGTGGTGTTAAGGGAGTGGGACTCCAGCCCCACAGATGTCATGATTTCACTCTTCCTCGTAACTCTAGTTATAATCCAGGGCCCTTGCCCCCATAAGGTCTGGGGCCTGTGAGGCTCTGATCACCTCCGGGGTCCCACCACCTCATCTCTGCCTGTTTACACCGTCATTTGCGTGGTCACGCTCCCCTCTCATTTCAGGGGGAGGCTCTCAGGGTGGGCGTGGGGCCCTCTGCTCACTGTGCCCTGTGTGGTCTCCATTCCTCCAGATCTGTGATTTGCTGTGTTTCACTGTTACGGTTCTGTGCCTGTGTCTGACATTTGGCGTTTTCTCTCCAGTGATTCAGAGAAACAGGGACAGGAGGGGGTGGGTGAAAGGAAGCAGACAGTAACCCCGGTAAATGAGGGTCAGTGACTGGCAGCCTGGTGTCACTTCCTGCCTCAAAAGGAACTGGTGATTGACATCATTTGTGGCTGCATGGCTACCTCAGAGGAAATGACATCAGAGGCCCTGGGACACTCCCAGGGCCTGGGGAGAGCTCAGGATGGCTACCTCCCTGGTTTCTGAAGCCCTTTGGAGAGTAATTGTGTTCACAAGATTCAGCCTTCTCTTGCCCTGTTCTAATTTTCATTTTCCTTTCGTGCTCTTGCCAACAGATTCTACCACCTGTAGTTCAGCCAAGTCCAAGGTGAGTGCCATGGGACTCCTCAAGGCTTTAGAGAAGCTGGACCTGCTTTACTTTTTAGTCAAAGAAATTGGGAGAATTGTGACTGGACCCTGAGGAAAGTTGATGAGAGAGAGAAGGCAGGAGGAGGACTGGGATCTGAGCTTGTGAGGCTGGCATGCCTTTGCCCCACGGAAGGCGCTTCCCAAGGTGTAATACGAAGAGATGGGGAAGAAAGAGTGGGCCCAGCTGCAGGCAGAGTCAGTGGTGGTACAGAGTTGGGGGGAATTCCCATCTGTTGACTCCACTTTCCTCAGTCAAGTAGGGGGTCAGTCCTCTGCTGAGAGTCAAGGAGGTAGGGGCAGTTGGAGCAGAGTGAAGGTGAGCTTCCTGAAGGGGCCAAGCATTGCTGGCAGCACCAAGGCCTCTGAGGGTGGTCCAGGCCTGAGAAGAGCCAGCTGTTTGCCCCGCAGCCCTGCTTAGCTCCAGGTGGATCCGGCTCCCCCACACTCCCAGAAGAGGTCCCATTGACCAAAGAACATCTTCACTTATCTCCTGTGACCTCCATTTATCTCTACTGTCCTCAGTAGACTCCACCACTGGCCACCTCCTCCCTGAAGCCTCTGGTGATAGAAGTGATTCCTTTCCAGGCCCTGGAATATTCCGCCTACGAGTCTAGGCCCACGTAACTCCCATTAGCCTTGGAACTCCTCAGGAGACCCTCATTTCCGTCACAGGGCCTTGAACATAGAACATGCTTCCTCAAAAGTACATCTTCAAACTGACTCAGGGACTTATTTCATTGTGGCCCGAGGGAGTTACTCAAAATCACTAGCGTGAGACAAAAGAGAAATGAATTTATGTCTGATGGGCACCTGCTAGATGCCAGTAATTTTTCACCAACACTTCTCACTGATCACGGCAAAAGACCCTTGAGTTCGGCATCATCCCCATCTTACAGATAGGGAAGCCTAGGCTCAGAGAGTTTGAGTAAAGAGAAGTCTGGAGAGCCGGTTAAGGAGCCTCTCAAGACAGGGAGTGTTGCTGGTGAATTCTCCACAGTCCGAGTTCTGATCCTCTGCTTTCAGGCTCTGAGTGTTTCTTCATTTTCCCTGCATGGGGCTTGAACCCCAGCCAGCCAGCCAAGGCCCCAAGAAACAGAGGCATGGACCAGGGTGCCAGTTTATTAACTGAGAGTGACAGGTAACAGGGGAATAAAGGCATTGAGCAATGCAGGCAGCAGAGGGCCTCGGGGATCTGAACTGCTCAGGAGGCCAGAGTCAGAGCCAGGGAAGCAGGCATTGGGACCGAAGGGTATGTCGCATCCTGGCTGTAAGTAAAGGGGCTGCCCTGGGGACCAGGGCCTAGCCCCTCACGAGGCTGTGGGCTCCCTGAGGGTAGGGATGAACCCTACAGAGTGCTGGAAAACATATCACTTCTGGCCTCAGACTCTTGCCTGACTCTGAAATCTTGGTCAGTGGTTGTCAGACTGTAGCCTCAGAGCCCTCTTGGGGTCATCACCACCAGCGGGTACATGGGAGGACTCGAGGGGGCGGACTCCAGGCCCTACCCTCCTCGGTCTAAGCTGGGCTGCTTTGTTCTGTTGCAGGAAGCTGGGTTTCTAGGGAGGATTCTATTTGAACAGTTTACACTCAGGCTGAAATAACAATAGAAAACCATTGTTCTAGATTTAATAATCTCATCTCCACAGCTTCCTCAGGCTGTGTACAGGACACCGATGTGTCAGCACCCTGAATTACAATTGCACTCTGATCCTGCCTCCACAAAGGAAGCTTTCCAGGGTGGGCACTGGGCCGGACACACACCACAGACATCTATCTCTTAGCTTGGTCTTCATCTCCTCCACTGTGGGTGGAACCCACCAGTGTAAATGCTCAGCGCCCTTATCAACTTAATTCCAAGTTCTTGGGGCAAAGGACCCCCTTTGTCTTCTCTGCCAGTTCCTCACCGCCCCACCCCACCAACTCAACTCTCTGTCCTGCCTGCAGTAACTGGTCAAGGACCCCTGTTGACCCAGGGTGAAGCCCAGCTTCTAACTGGGCCCTGTCTGATCCCCTAGTCCTACCTTACTTCATTTCACAACATGTACCTAAATATTCCCTTACACCCCTGGCCTCAGCAGCGGATCTGGGGCATGGCATGGCCAGTATGGCACGTGCCCTCGGGGCACCACTGAGCAGTTTCTATTTGCAATCACAATTTCCATCACCAGCTATGAGAGATCATTCAGCAATTTGAAACTAATTGTCTATCGTTGGGGCTGTTCTCCAAAGATACTCCGCTGCATGGCCTCACCCATCCCAGGCCCCATCTGTGACCTCTCTGTGACCTTTACCCTAAGGGACAACTAGCTGATCACATGAAAACATGGGCATTGATCAAAACATCACAGCATTACAGACCCTGGAGGGCAGGCATTCTCCTTTGACTGTTGGTCCCAGGCCCTTTGAGGAATCAGGGCAAAGCTAGCACCCTTGCTCCCAAAAGACACATACAGAAGCCGTGCAGCAACTTTGGGGAGGCTTTGAGTCCCAGTGTCCATACCAAGACCCCTTCTCCAGAGGAACCGAATGCTGATGGCTTGCTTGGTGGAGGGTCTCAGTTCAGTCGTTACCAATAATGCTTTCTATCATCACTGATACTCGTTAAGAATATCCAACAATATTAATAATAGTACCGTTTACTGAGCATGTGCTATGTGGCCAGTATTGTGCTCAGAATTAGTCATCTTCACACATGCCCTGTGTGTTGAGGCCACATTGCCCTTATCTCACAGTTGAGGAAATGAGGTCGGAAGATTCCATAGCTCGTTCCAGGTCCCCCAACCAGCTAGCTGCCTGCTCCAGGGCCTGCCCTCTGAGACAGAATGATGACTATGTGATGGTGCCCACTCCAGGTACACCCTGCCCAGCTGTTACACTAGAGCTTGCTGGCCAGCGTGGGTGAAACCAGCTAACATGGGCTGGTCAAACTGGGCTCATTTCTGTTTGGGCCTTTTCGCACCAGTCAGGTTGCAGGATTGCTGAGGAGGAAGGAATGAACGGGCTGAGGTGAGAGCAAAGGTGGGGAGCCCTGTTAGGAGAGGGTGGAAAAGTCCAGAAAAGAGCAGATGAGACTCAACAGAAGATGGTGGTGAGCTGGCTTTGGGAGTCATTACAGAAGGAGAAGGAAGTGGTCTGGGCTGTGGTTTGGGGATGGGGGGAGTCAGTGACCATGGGGAGCAGGTCTTTGTGAAGACCGATTCCTCCGCCAAGAGAGGAGGCCAGAAAGGGAGGATGGAAGCCAGCGTGAGGAGGTGAATGATGAGTACCATGGGCTCTGCGGGGAGATCAAGTAAGGGCAGACTGAAGAGCAGCCACAGGGCTTAGCAGTGAGCTGGGTCAGGTAAGGGCAGCGACAGGAAGTTACCCAGCGTGAGGCTGGAAATCACAACCAGCAGGTGGAGGTGGCTGCACCTGACGGTTTGTTTGTACAAGATCCTTCATCAACTTTTGGCAGCAGAAGCTGGGGTTGGAGTGATCCAGGCTGGGGGTTGTTGGGCTGGGCAGCTGGGGGGAGGGTGGCCGAAATGCTTGGCAGTGGGGTGCAGAGGGCAAGGGGAGGAAGTGAACTCAGGTTATCTGAAGTAGTTGGAAAGGCAGGCTTGGAGTGCAAGTGAGTGGAGAGGGAAGAGGCGAGGAACTTGTGGTCCAAGAAAGGAAAAACAGGAAGATGTGAAAATCGGTTCAAACTGTCAAGTGTTATTCACTGTTGAGAGACTGTTATTACCAGAGCTGTGTTTAACGGGATCTCTCTGGTGCTGGATGCGGATAATGGGATGGAAGGGGAGGGTGGGGGTAGGGAATGGGGAGCTGAGGGTCTGGAGTAGGGCTGGATGGGGTGCTGAGGAGGCTTCAAGACTGAGGGCTGGCACACCGGAGGAGTATCCAGAGAGGATCGTGACACGCCAGCTGGGATGGGGGTCAGAGACAAGCGTTTATGATGGGGTGTGTGTGTGGCAGGGGTGATGGGCTTTGTTTGGACTTGTTCAGATTAGGTTCTACAGTGGTGGGCTCTACTTGTGGGAATATGGAGCATTGAAGCCCGCAAGCCTGGGGTTGGGAGAGGGCCCAGCTGGCACAAGGCTGGGCGCCTCTTGCCTACTGACCTGTCTCCCTGCACAGGGCTCGTGGGCCCCCAAGAAGGAGCCGTATGCCCGGGAGATGCTGGCGATCTCCTTCATCTCGGCTGTCAACCGCAAGCGGAAGAAGCGGCGTGAGGCGCGGGGACTGGGCAGTAGTACCGACGACGACTCAGAGCAGGAGGCACACAAGCCCGGGGCGGGGACGTCGGTGGCAGGGGCCCAAGACCAGCCGGAGGGGCAGCTGCCAGGCGCCGCTGTCCCCGAGGTCCCCGAGCGCCTCAGCCCCCCGGCGGCTCCGGAGGAGCGGCCGGCCGCGGATACGCGCTCCATAGTCTCGGGCTACTCCACTCTGTCCACCATGGACCGCAGCGTGTGCTCGGGAGCCGGGGGCCTGCGGGCGGGCGCGGGGGACGAGGCGGACGACGAGCGCAGCGAGCTGAGCCACGTGGAGACGGACACCGAGGTGGGCGCGGCGGGCGCGGGGTCCGGGGGGCGCCTGACGCGCCGGCCCTCCTTCAGCTCACACCACCTGATCCCCTGCGACACCCTGGCGCGGCGCCGC